TAAATTGCACTGTAATTTTTTAACTATTGATGTTTTTAAAGATATAAGCTCATCCTGATGTTACATTCATCAAGACCTTTCATTTGAGTACCCACATCAATTTTTCATATATTTATATATATTATATATATGTATATATGAAAAATATATATGAATATATGAAAAATATATCAAAATACATGTGAGTACTCAAATGAAAGCTCTTGATGAGTGTTATATTGGGATGAGCTTATGTCTTTCAAAATGTTAATAGTTAAGAAAGTACAGTACAATTTAAGATAATTAAGAAACGATCTTGTATCTTGTGAACTATTGATATTTTTAAAGATATAAGCTCACTCCGATGTTACACTCATCAAGACCTTTCATTTGAGTACCCACATCAATTTTTCATATATTTTATATATTTATATATATATGAATATATGAAAAATATATCAAAATGCATGTGGGTACTCAAATGAAAGCTCTTGATGAGAGTAACATCGGGATGAGCTTATATCTTTAAAAACGTCAATATTTAAGAAAGTACAGTACAATTTAACAAAATTCATTATTTAATAAAGCAAAATTTTATTCATATATAATTCACAAGTTACGGCAGTCACATAGTGACTCCAAGGTTTCTAGTTATTAATTATTTATTTTTGGCAGTGTAAATTATTGCTTTACCCTTAAAAAAAAAATAATTTCAATTTTAAATTATGAACATGACTTTCTCGAGCTTATTTATAAATACATATTTTTTTTTTATACGCAGCATGCTCCAGGTGTACCAAAAGTATTGGTCGGCAATCGACTTCACCTGGCATTCAAAAGACAAGTAGGAGAGCGAGATGCAGAAATATACGCGGCTAAAAATCATATGGCATTTTTTGAAGTATCGCCCTTGTGCGATTTTAACATAAGGGAAAGTTTTTCGGAGTTATCTCGAATGGCATTACACCGTAATGGCATGGAAAGACTTTGGAGATCGAACAAAGGTATTAACATAAAAATGTTTAATTAAAATAAAAACATTTAATTAAAAAAAAAAACATTTAATTAATATAATTAAAAATTTATATTTTTTTTTATTTATTTGTTTGTTTGCTTGTTGAATTTCAGTTCTCACATTACAAGAGATAGCATGCCGTACAATTGTTGCCAGAACAACGGTTTATGAGATAGACCAATTGCCTTTACCCAAGTCCATTAAGTCACACTTAAAGTCGTATGCAATGACGACGACATCGCAATTACGTTGTAATAGATCGCAAAATTCAAGCAAAAGCCTTGGATCTCATCATCGAAAGTTGCGGTTCGTCGGAGCGGGTCACAATGGACTGACAACACCGGGCAATTCACCTGGCAGCATTACTGACTCGCGTTCTAGTTGCGCTGGTCGTAATTCTTGCGCAATATCCTGAGGGTAAAATTTAGCCGACGTTCGGTTTTTAAATTACACAAATAATTTCCCGTTAAAATTTAACATTACGCGACTAAAAATAATCGTAATGATAATAATAATCTAAAAAGAAATTGAAGAAAAAAAAAATGTGACGCGTAAACATTTTTAATGTGTTAGGAATTACATACCCGATATTTGATCTTGAATTGATAAGCTAAATTATTCAAAGTATGTTATTTAATTAAAATTAAACAGTTTTATCTATTATAAATTATAAGCATAATATTAATTCAAGAATCAAGAAATATTTATCGGATTTTGTGTGGAATGCAGCGTTAATTGCTCACAATAATAATAAAAAAAAAAAAAATATACGATGATAATAACAATAATATTGATAATAAAAAATAAATCCAGGCAATAAATAAAAAATGGTAATAAATAACATAATTAAATTACAGGTACTTATACTCTTAACTTTGTTCTTCTCGGCAGTTATTAATCGTTCGATTGCGTCATACTACAGTTAAAAATAAAACTATAACATTCAGATGCTTTTGCATCTTTGTTAATAACAAAAAATTAAAAAAAAAAAAAATATTGTGTGATGTAATTAAATATTAAGATTCGTCCGTTTTTATCAACTAATTGATGTACAACCGTGGAGATAGTACGATTTATTTATAAACAAATAGTAAATTTTCATTATTAATCCGTCAGCACTCATGTTATGATTATACTCAGTAATATCTGTGGTGAAAAAAAATCCAGATTATACTGCGTGATATCTGGATTATTCTCATTATAATTAATTATGTTATAATATTTACAATATTATAATATAATTATAATTATTATAATAATAATAATTAATTATATTCATTGTAATCTGGATTATACCAGTTACTATCTAAAATTTTTTTTCACTCATTATAATCTGGGATGATATCGAGAGTCATCTTGTTCTTACCGTGTAAAATTCATGAGTTCTGACGGATTAATAATATTATTACGTGTAAATATTTATATATTACTAATATAACTATTGCATATATATTTTAAATGTTAAAGTTTTGAATTTGTTAATTAAAAAAAAATTATTAGAGAGCAAGGCACTGCGTACTAACGCGAAATACTGTACTTGTATTTAATGCAATTCTCTATTGACTAGTCTGAAGAATAATCTGAATATTAAAAGTCGAAATTATTAATTTTATTATTTTATTATTATTATAATTATCCAAAGTATGAGTATGTATAGTAATTTATAAATTATCGTAATTTAACTAATCAACTTTTTACACGTTAAGAAAGGAGGAAAAGGATAACAGAAAATTATTTTTTACAATGAATGACTTTGTCAAATTTCTGAATCATATATTCGCTAAAAAACTTAATTTTTTATACGGTAATCATAAATACATCATTTTTGAGTAATTAAAGCAAAAGGCCCAGTTATTGACACTTGAAATTTTATTTTAATTAAAAAAAATAAATTTTAAGATAATTATTTTTTTAATTAGAATAAAATTACAAGTGTCAATAACTGGGTCTTTTGCATTAAATAAAATAACTAAATAAAGCGGCTAGAACTTAGACACCGTCCTTTGTATTAACATATTTTCTGCAAACTAAATTTATCAGTCCATTGTACATACTTTTATAAAACAATTTATTTTACCGGTAAATTTTTTTTTTTTTTTTTTTTCCAATTATGATTATATTTATTGTGTAGATATATGTTTGGTAATCATAATTAATAATTGCATTTAAAAAATTAAAAATTAGTAATTTGATAAATATTTTAATTATCATTATAATTATAAAAAAAAATGTAATGTGATAATGATAATGATTATTGTCTTAAGACTTTCACTTATAATTTTCTACGCCCCAAAATAGCCTACAGAAGAAATAATTACTTTTATCTTCTTCAATGGACACAAATCATTCTCAGAGTACGATTGTGCCATGGAAAACTCTATTCCGTCTGATAAAAAGAAAAAGAGATAAAGGGAGAGAGAGAGAAAGAAATGTTGATCTTAAGGTCAAAATATTTTTTGCTCTGATAACGGCAATTAAAAATATCACGATAAAAATTGTCGAAATTTATTTTTGAAATATTTATTATTGAAATAAAATGTAGAGATAAATTTACTTGATGAAGAAAGTACGGTAGAGATTTGTGTATGAGGACTGATAACTAGCAATATACATATATTATTTGTAGTTTCTTTTGGATGTGTAAATATTATCAAAGCTGTTAACGTTTTGACATTCCGTATATTAAAATAACTAAATAAAAAATAAAATAAAAAAAAAAAATGATTAGCTCTACCCGTATACAAGATAGAATGAAATTAATAATAAAAAAAAAAAAATCCGGTATTTACCGAACATATTTTTGTACACTGCGTATAAAGTATGTTACGAAATTTTTCATCTATCATTAAACCAGTCTTTTCTCCGCATATTTTTATTTGTCTAGTATCTATAATACATATTATAAATACATTTTTTAAAAATACAAGGGAGCTATGGTCGGGTCGACTGACGTATTTTAATCATATTCATTGTCATAAAATAAAATTAAAATGAAAAAAAAAAAATACAAGTGTTACTATGTTACTTAGACCAATGATTTAAAATTTGTATGATATTGAATTACACATGTAATATTTATTTATCTTTAATAATTATATATTATTGCTACTTCTTGAATAAATAATACCATATTCAAATTTTATATTAATTTGTCTTATATATAGTCGATTATATTTTGTTTTTTTACTGTCATTTTATTTATAATGATTTTTGTAATGTATTGCATTGTGTATTATATCAAAGAAGAAATTTAGACATGTCAAACGTCCAAAAATTTAGTAACGTCAGTCAACAAAATAAGGAAGCAGGTGATGGTGATTCAATGCCTCAATCTTTGAAAGAAGCCCTGGAATTAATGGACTCGATAAACCGACGTCTGGAGGATTGTGCCATGGAATGGCAGTCGAAAATTTCTAAGCAGCAATGGAAACTTTTGAACGATAAATCGGCTACTGAAGTCGCTTGGGACCAGTCTTTGCTCGCTCGTACTTACTTTACTGATAAAGTTGCTGATGAAACTTTTCAAAAATTATTAGTACATGCTCGATCATTTATAGAAAATTTTAATACTTTTATAAGTAAGTTCTATAATTTTTTTTTTGCATCGTACTTTTTCAACTATTGACATTTTTTAAGATATAAGCTCATCCCGATGTTACACTCATCAAGAGCTTTTATTTGAGTACCTACATGTATTTTTGATATATTTTTCATATATACATATATGTAATATATATAAATATATGAAAAATTGATGTGGGTACTCAAATGAAAGGTCTTGAGGAGTATAACATCGGGATGAGCTTATATCTTTAAAAATGTTAATAGTTCACTAGATACAAGGTCGTTTCTTAACTATGTTAAATTGCACTGTAGTTTTTTAACTATTGACATTTTTAAAGATATAAGCTCATCCCGGTATTATACTTATCATACGCTTTCATTTGAGTACCCACATGCATTTTTTATATATTTTTCATATATACATATATATTTATATATAATATATATAAATATATGAATAAATTGATGTGGGTACTCAAATGAAAGGTTTCGATGAGTGTAATGTCGAGATGAGATTATATCTTTAAAAATGTTAATAGTTCACTAGATACAAGGTCGTTTCTTAACTATGTTAAATTGCACTGTAGTTTTTTAACTATTGACATTTTTAAAGATATAAGCTCATCCCGATGTTACTCTCATCAAGAGCTTTCACTTGAGTACCCACATGCATTTTGATATATTTTTCATATATACATATATGTAATATATATAAATATATGAAAAATTGATGTGGGTACTCAAATGAAAGGTCTCGATGAGTGTAACATCGGGATGAGCTTATATCTTTAAAAATGTCAATAGTTTTTAAAATACATCGTCATTTCCTAATTATGTATCTAGAGAGAACATTTTCAAATGCAGCCTAAATACTTATCATCATAAATTTACTATTTATGAGAATTATATAAAATCATGAAAAGGCGCAATTTCAGGTCAAGACCTTTCTAATGATACCAAATTTAATCATAAAAACCCATTTTATCATATATGTACACTGGCCACAAATTCTTTCTTCTTCTCTTAATAATATAAATAATTAATTAAATTTTTTCAGCTTTATTACGAGGAGAACGTTCAATCCCTTTGACTGAAAAAAAGGAAGTGCAAAACCAAATTAGCGAAGTACCTTCAGCTAGAAGCGAAAAATCAAACCCAGTTGTTGCGCCGCTAGATCTTTCGCTTCTGGAAGACAAAACTGGACAACAATCTGAGAGACGAAGAAGTAAGAGACTCGCGGCATTAAATTCAAGCCGGGATGTCCAGCAGTGCTTCGCTGAATTGATAAAAGCAAAAATAGACCTAGACACTAAATTTCTCGGCTTTGAAGCTGTTCTCAATGGACCTAACAGTATCACGATGCCTCCAACGGAGAGTGTTTCTTGTTTGTGTCAGATTTGTTCCAATATTTTGGTGATTTCTCTTTAGATAAAAAAAGAGATACAGAAAGTAGTAGACATCTGAAATTTCTTCTTTATTTAAAAAATAAATAAAAAGATTTCTTCTACTTTCAGTATAAAAAAAAAAATTAATATTTAAAGAATAATAAGTAAGTAATTATACTAATTGTGAAAGTAAATTCCAGGGAACAGTTATTGACAATGAGAAGATGTTAAAAGACGTAACGAAGCCAAAGGTCAGAAAAACGAGCGCAAGACCAACTAGTAAAAGGCTCGTTAAATCCTCGAGAATTTGGAAAAAAACTCACGATAGAAAGCAGTCATTATCTCTTGGTCACATTGACGGAAAATCGGTTTCACCGAAGAGTACTAAAGAATGTTGATGCTTAAGCTGAAGCTGAAGAAATAAAAAAAATTAAATTTTTATTTATTCAATTTCTGACCCGAAAATTTGATAGGTCCTCCTCTCTTTTATCCATATTTTAATATTTTAATAAAAAACGAAGAAATATATTTTGAAATATTTTATAAATATCTTTTTTGTTAAATTAATAATATATAGTAGCACAATTAATATCGATTTACAATAAAATATGAAATATATCTATAGCGATATGTACATATATTACTTTTTTTTATAAATAATTATAATTATAATTAATATTTTTAATATTAAACGTAATTAAAATTTTTTTTTGTAAGTAATTGTACAGCAACTCTGATATCAGATACACGAATTAATATTTTAAATATTAAATTTAATTTTTAATTAGGAAGAAGTTTTATTGAAAATAACCAGTCATAACCGATTGCTTCTTTTCTACAACGATTATTAAAGACTAGAAATAATGTCATGTACATTAAAAATATTATCACATAATATTTAAATCTATTGTATGATAAGCAACTTGCTACCAGTGTTATGTTATCGTTTTTTAATTTTTTTTTTTGTTAAGTACTTTTAAGGGAAGAAATACGTGTAGAAGGCCGTTTTAATGCTGATTTTCATTATTTTTTTAAGGTGTAAAAAATTAATATTATTTATTGAAACTATCAGGTTATTTTATAGATATATTTATGAGTATTTTTTCGGAAAAATATCAATATATGTATAAAATATTCTGATAGTTTTAATAAATAACATTAATTTTCATACCTTAAAAAAATAAATAAAAAAAGCATGAAAACGTCTTTCTACACATATTTCTTCCCTTAATAAGGGCTATCTGAATATCACAATAATTGCTGTATTTCGCAGTAGTTTTTCATCTACGTGGTGTTAATTATTGCAAAAAAATTATGCGCATTACACATATAATAATAATAATAATAATAATGATAATAATAATGTTATTTAATTTGAGTTCTTAATAATTTATGTATATATATAAAAATTTAATACACAATAGTTTAATAGCGTAAATCAAATTTAAAATTTAACATGAAATAATTCTCTGAGCAAGTACATACATACATTTATATAAATATTTTTTTAATTTGGCCTACTAATTTATAAATTTTAAACATCGTAAAAAAAAAAATATACTCAAAAATATAATATTAAAATTATTTTAATAATTAATTAGAGTATTGTAGAAGTTTTTTTGTTTAAATGTTAGGTTAATAACAAAATACCAGGTTTCAGTGATAAAGGTACTCTTGCGCTGTTTTTATCTATATAAAATAATTGTTTACTATATATGTAAATACCCAAAAAAATAAATAAGCAAACAGATCCGCACGATTCAAAAAAATAAACAGAGTTAATAAATTTAGAAAAATAATTAAAGACTAATGAATATATTTATAAAAATTTAATCAATTTATTAAAATAATAAATTGTCTTACAACGAATAATTGTGTATATTATTATTAATTACAGTAGCGTCGTACGCGTCGAGGCACTAAGTTCCTCATTCATCAATATCACGATTATTAGCTTTATCCAATATAAAAAGTAACCAATATAAAAAATAATTATTAATTATAAATAATAAGTCATTTACAATAAATAATTTAGTTTTCAAATCTATTTAATTTCCAATTAAGTTATACTCAATAATTTTGAATCTTTATGTAAATATTATGAAAAAAATAATGAGATCTGTTTGCTTAAAAAAAAGAAGACAGAAAACTCAAATTTTTGTTGTCGTTGCAGTGTCACATGCATCTATTTCACCTGAATTCGTAGATTTGTATACTGTGTTCTGGAACGTGTCTCAAATTTAGAGATTGATACCTGAAAAAAAATTATTTATGAAAATTCTTTTCTTTTTTTTTATAAAAGTAATTGAAATTGTTTTAAGACATACCATTCAGAACTTCGATGATAATAATAACCCTCAATAGAGGCAGCAGACTTTTCAAAACAAATATAATAAAATCCAGCGAACGATGCACCGTTTATATCTTTTATTGTGTGATCCGGAACTAAAAAGTGTTCCTTCCATCTCATAAAGACAAAATCAGTTCCTTTGAGTGCTTCATAGTCATGTCGGGATGAGCTTATATCTTTAAAAATGTCAATAGTTCACAAAATACAAAGTCGTATCTTAATTATGTTAAATTGCACTCTGCTTTCTTAACTATTGATATTTTTAAAGATATAAGCTCATTCCGATGTTACACTCATCAAGATCTTTCATATGAGTACCCACATCAATTTTTCATATATTTTATATATTTATATATATGTATATATGAAAAATATATAAAAATGCATGTGGGTACTCAAATGAAAGGTCTTGATGAGTGTAACATCAGGATGAGCTTATATCTTCAAGAATGTCAATATTTCACAAGATACAAGGTCATTTTTTAATTATGTTAAATTGCACTGTACTTTCTTAACTATTGACATTTATAAAGATATAAGCTCATTCCGATATTACACTCATCAAGACCTTTCATTTGAATACCCACATGCATTTTGATATATTTTTCATATATACATATATATAATATATATAAATATATGAAAAAATGACGTGGGTACTCAAATGAAAGGTCTCGATGAGTTCTACATCAGGATGAGCTTATATCTTTAAAAATGTCAATAGTTTACAAAATACAAGTTCATTACTTAATTATGTATCTGGAGATAGAGCATTTTCAAAATACTTATCACTAGAAAATAATTTTGAATAAAAACATTTAAAATAAATACCCAATGTTTTTTATCAACGTCTTCATCAGCGTCCCACTTCCTGGTAAGAAACGGGTATTTTTTCGAAATAATTTCTCCGTCAAAGAATGTCGTAAGTGTAGGAAACTCTTCCGTTAGACCTTTTATTTTCAGGTATCCGCATAAGTAGCTATTTTCTTCATCTACGTGCTAAAAAAATAAATAATATAACAATAAGACAAAGTACTTATTTATAAACATCAACATATATGTTTATTTATATAACACTAACCTGCAAAACTACTTCAACGTCGTAGCTGTTGCCTTTGGACTTCTGGGAGCCTTGGAACCGAGATCCATTGTATAGGAGAGATTTAGTGACTCCTGGTTGTTTTGAATTAGCAGGCGGCGGTGGGACAACATCAACTTTAACCGGCATCCTCTCCGTCTCGAGTTAGTTACTCTAGACTCTGTCTGCCAGTGAATTAATCTGCATCACAATCTTAGTTGTCTGTCAGCAGCAGGTTGTCGCTTCGTTTACTTCGTTTTAATATAGAAGGCCTCTTGATAAATGTATTACTGTTATTATTACCAATGATTCTATTTATGTAATTTCGACAAAGATTATAAATATTTACACTGGAATAAATTATTGTCCGTAAGTTTTTTATTTTTTTTTTTTTAATATTAATAGTAAATACTGCCACTCCCAAATAACTTTTATAAATATATACAGCAATCCCAGAAGATAAATGTCCAGAGATTTATTATCGACACTGTTATAATGTCCTGTAAAATACTTCACAATTTAAAGTAATATTATTAATATATTTATTTATTATTCCACGTGAAAATAATTACTAAGTCTTTAAAGAGTTTTTTTAAATTCAATAAAAATTAAATCACAAGAATATTTTTACGTAAAACTTGATGATCAAAAGGTCGTTGTGATCATGATGGTGCTCTGAAAAAATTACATACCGGATGTTCACATCAGTTTGCTCGCAATTTCTCGAAAATATATTCTGTCTGAAAACTATGGCGGATATTTGCACTAAAATTTTTTTAAGCTTTATTATTATCTGCGCAATTTATTATTTAGAATTATTTAATTAGTCTTCACTGACAATTTTATTTTTTACATTTAAATAAATTTTTTTTCTTAGTCAAAAGACATTTGTTTCTTCATAAAATATTTTGAATTCGTCGGATTAGTTTTACTAAATATATTAATGACAAAAATACGAGCGTGTCTGACAAAAGAGAAGCCATTAAAAATAAAAAACACGAGAGACAATGGAAAAAAACATATTGACAGTGGCGCCGCTTTATTTTTTGTGGCACTAATTTTTAATACCACCTACCGGCTGATGGTTAAAACACTATAAAATTTTAATTTTAAAATAGGTTAGAACGTCCCGCTTAATTTTTGTACACAACCTCAAAAGTATAACCGTTGAAAAACAAGTATTATTTTTTCATTCAAATGTGTTTATATTTATAATAATTATTTTTATAAAATGGAACCTTTGGGAAATGTACCGTAAGTATTATAAATAATTAAAAATAAAAATTTTTTATTTAGATAATTTAATTACAATGATATTTTACAGCTATTGCAAGGGTTTGTGGTCAGTTATTTCTAGCACGACAAGTCGATGTGAAAAAGCACTTGTCGTTGAAGAAATTAAAAATGCCACTGAATTATTAAAAGAAGGTCTTATATTTTTTAAACCCTTTACTGAATCCTCCTTGGAGAAAGTTCAAAAGTCTAACCCTGGGCCTCGGATGCTTGATCTTGTGTCCAAGCTTGCAACTTTTCTGGTACGTAAACCCTGAAATTTTAATTAAAATAAAAAATAAATTTAAAATGATACAAAAAGTTTGCAGTTACTTGATAATTTTTTTATTTTATTTAATGATACTGAATTTAAGACAAAAAAAAAATGTTCTTGAATCAAAGAAGGTAAAAGACCCAGTTTTTGACATTGGCCTAGTTATCGACATTTGTAATTTTATTTTAATAAAAACAAAAAATAAATCAACCCTAATAAATTAATAAATATAATTTTTTAATTATAAATTTTAAGATGATTGGTTTTTTTGAGAACATTTTATTTTTTTAATTAGAATAAAATTGCAAATGTGAAACAACTAAGCCATTGTCATTAACTGGGTCTTTTACTTTAAATAATAATAAATAAAGTATATAATTTTTAATAATTTGATATTCTTGATTTGAGTAAAAAAATTTTTGATTTGAGGAAATTTTTCTTGATTCAATAATTTTTCGTCTTGATTCAAGACAATTACCCTCTTCAAAATTATATTCTTGGTTCAAGAATTTTTCTCTTGAATCAAATTAATTTTTCTTTCAGTGCAGAGATCTAAAAATTTTTTAGATTGTTATAAAAATTTAATTGTAAAATAAAAAATTTCAGATGTAGAAATTTGTAAAAATTATAAGTGTGAATTTAAAAAAAAAAAAATTCTTTTTAAATAATTGCAAATTTAACTTTTTAAAATTTTCACATGTCAATTTTTATTTGTCATTATTTAGTAATTTATTTGTCAAAAATATTAAAATTATCAAATATCTGCTAAATAAATTTTAATAAATTGAAACAATAATTAAAAAAACAATTAATAAATTTTATAACAGAATCTAGATGCCACAATCGCCTGGGACTTGACTCTCAACTACATGATCTACGAGTACAGAAACAGTGGCGAAACCTTCGCATCCCATCTCGCGGATATAACCTCCATGAAAGTTCTAATCGAAGATATCTGGACATTTTATTACTCCGAGCGAATAACATTAATAAAATGTCTAAAACTAATAATCGAGTACCGAGACAACAAGCGTCATCCTTATCAATCAGAATTTTCCGAGTTTTTTAAAAAAGCTTCTTTGGAATCAATTCTGGAGTCCTCACTAAAGCAAATAGACCGCCTCAAGTCTGCCAGTATCGCCAACAGATCTCACCTTCTTACAGATGATCACCTCCACAAATTATACAACAGCACCCTGGTGGAGATGCGTGAGCTGCTCCACATAGTCACAATGTTACTAGACACCGTGCAACCTAGTGACTTCCAGAACATCTACGAGAGCGTTTGCGGCGAGCCGCGTCGTCTGGCCGGTACAAAAAGCCACGAGGACAAGGAAAAAATCACAAAACAACTCGAAGAAATTCGTCACTGTCAAATCGCTTTATTTGTAGTAGCCCTTGATGTAACCAAGCGTTACGAAAACAGCGCGAGTAGCGACGAAGTTTACAATTGGGTTGAAAGACTCAGAGAAAATATCCAAGAATTAGTAGAGCCTAAATGCCGCAGAGACGGTTCTCCAGAAGACGGTCCGCTGTTGTTAGTCTGGATGTTGGTAAATTTTGCAGTGGAGCCTGAAAATTCTGAATTATTAAACCGCTTTAGACCTTGCGGAGTCCGAGCAGTCCAGCTGGATGTCTTCCGAACGCTCCAAAGTGTCCTGGACAGCGAAGTAATCAACGAATCTACGCGCTATGCGCAAGTAGTACGCACAAGTATCTACAATCTTTTGTCATTATTATGCTCCTTTGTCGACGAGGACAGGCTCAGCAATTTCGAAGGAATTTTCGACGTAGTTGCTTCAATTTTACGCTACCCTGAAACAGCAACAGAATTTTGGAACGACAGAAATGAAGAAGGAGGTCTCTGGCCGCTTTTTCACCGAGCAGTGTCGCTTTTTCCGTACAGATTTGAACCACTAACGCGAATTGCTACTGGACTGGCCAACGCTTCGCTGCCCAGTGCTAAAAAAATAGCCGCTAGATTGGAAGAATTAGACTCGGTGACTCTAGAAGAACCCATTCATCGTAACTTCACTCCCAACGCTGGTCCCAGGCAGCCGTACCGGCCTTATGAAAAAGAATGTACCCTCCATCGCAATGAATTCACAATTCCTGATAATTGCGAGAGAATTGTTCTAGACAGCGACAAGGAAATTGTTTTATGGCGGACCAAGTCAAGATATGGCGACGCGTTTCATTATAAAATTGAACTGCTGTTTTATTACGCAGGGAGCGGAATAATGAATGTTGTAAATCAGCAGACAAGCTTGCCGGAGCATGTAACTTTAGGATTTACTCTACTGGAAGCTCTGCTGGCCTCTGATGTGGACTTACCTTTAGGAATGGTGATCCCGACTGAACTAAGCCTGGAAGTAATTAACAGATTCTGTCACTCAATTCTACCTAGAAGCTTGTACCTACTTGTCGCAGCGTGCTGTAGAGTCACGTCAAAGCTAGCTTTGAAATACCCTGACGAAATATTCACGCGAATGCGAGTGGGAATTTACCCGAAGTTCAACGACTGGTATCAAGATATTAAAGAACTAGCTCGTGCATTTTCCTTCGATGGAGGTCTTGTTGCATCTTGGTTGTCCGGAATTGAAACTATCGAGCATCGTTATCCGATTCTCAATGCTTATTTGGACACTCTGTATAATTATTTAGTGTCTAAACACAGCGAGGAAGCGATGTACAACATGGAGATCCCAGGGATGGTTTTTTTACTCCAAGGAGTCTTGCCGAAGTTAGACTCTTGGTACTTTACCTCCGAGACGGAAAGAATTGAGCTCTGGCTCAAGTCAATGTCTTGCATTCACCACGCGCTGGATGTAAATTTACCAAAAAACGACCCTAGAAAAAAGCTTCAGCTAGTTGTTGCTTATAGTCTTCTTTATTTAGAGCCTCGGCATGCTTTATTAAAGCTTGTAAGAACCGGAGAAAGAAATCTAAGGAACCAAATGATGAACGAGTCTGATTGGATCAGCGGAAAAGGGTTCAAAGTTATCGAGAGTGTAAGGCTAGCTCTTTCATTGGTAAACCGGCTTTTGATGTTCAGACAGAGTCTAGGACTCAGCGACGATGAAAGATCTCCTTTAGAAGTAGCTCTGTACACTTCACCATCGCTGCCTACTGGATTGTTAATCGTACCGACGATTGTTAATTATTTATACGTCGAATTTAGTCCTTCTTTGCAAGCAATGGCAGTCAGTTTGTTAAAAAAATTCGCTCAGGGATTTTCCATGTCGCTTTTGGTCTGCATGGGCATGGACGGAACGTCCATTCGAGTGACCTTTGCCTCGCGTTTGATGTCTCCAACTTGCTCAGCTAAAGTCAAGGTCACGATATTGGAGCTAGTGGCAGTTTGTTTGGAACGACAACCAGGATTGACCGAAGCGCTGTTTAATATTATGCACCAAGCGGAGCAGAAAAGAATGTTTCCAAAATCTGCTGATCAATTTTTAACCGAAGGTTGCAGCCACTTTATTGAACTCTACTTAGAAAGGATTTCTAAAGAGAAGGAAATTGTTTATGACAAACTTTATGATAACACAATGAATTTAATCCGCGCAATTTGGTACAACCGCAATACAATTCTTGTTAATTATTTTAGAAAACGTGAAAAGTTTTGGAACCAAATGTTCGCTCCGTTGTTTAGACCGCTGGTTTCTGGCTCTCGAGGGTACGCTTATTTAATAGACATTGCAACGCTTGAATTGTTTGAATCAGCGCCTCCGTTGTTGCCTGAGAATGATTTTACAAAAAATTTAGAGATTTTTTTGTACAAAGACAACCACTGGGAGCGATTTATTGAGTATATTTTAGCAAATCCAGCCAGTACAATGGATACAGATTCCAAAATTGAAGAAGAAAACAATAGTAGCAACGAATCTCCATTGTATGAAGCGAATATTGAAGCTTGGTATCATTTTATAGTAACTTTAACCGACAATAAAGTATCTAGTGAATTAATGACTCAAATGGAAGCTTCAAGAGTTCAGTTTATGATGCGCTACACCCTGGACTCGCTTTCACTTAGAATAAAACGGACCAAGACAATAGGAGACGCGAGGATAACAATGCTGCTCGCTTCCCTGGCGCTTAGATGTGTCTTCACCTGGAAATTAAAGTGCGTAGATGAGCAACAAGCTTTTATTTCCCGGATTGTTCAATTAATGGAAGATATTTTCCACTCTTACGACAACTACGGCGCGGGTTTGAGGAGAATATTGGTTTCTTTATTACTAGGGTGCATCCAGCTGGTAAAAAGTGCTATGGCTGAAGATAAAGCCAGCTTGGAGTACCTTCTAATTCAGTCATGCTTGCTGTCTAACATCGAATTGCGCAAACTTAGTGATGCTGTAAAGAAAACTCAAGAAGTCCAAGCCGCTAGTGGGAATATCAAGCATGTAGTTGAAGAAGAAAATGATATTATTGACGGGAAGATATCTTCTGATTCAACAAAGTCAACTCATACATCAACACCAGCTACGTTGACAATTAGCATGGTGACTCAATTATTGCAGTGCATTAACCAGCAAGACCCACTGAAGTACGGGAACAGATCAGTGTGTCTCCACCTTCGTCAACTAGCTCCAGATTTAATGTCCTGTTTAAGTACTTGTCTGCAAAGTCACAGGTACGTAGGTTTCAGTCGCGCAGGGCTTGAATTATTGGGCATGCTTGCTAGATCAACGACTTACAATCCTCCACCGCGGCCTATCGACGAGCAGGAGTCAATAGCGAAGCTCTGGCTGGCTCTAGTTCCTCCTGAGAGTCTCAGGAACAGCATGCTAGAGTGTCTCTATGATGACAGGACGTGTCAAGGCCAGTGGAGGTGCCAGGACTGGTGGATGATTTATACTCTAGGTTTAGAATTTATTACTGGACTGATAATGAGCAGCATTGGCTTTGGTGGGCAGTCGTCTTGTCAGTCAACCTATGTCACGTCAGTGGTAATTTTTTTGGGCTCGCATGAAAATCAACTTACTGAAGTGGCGACTTTGTTAAGACACACCGCGGACCCTAGGGCCATTGATCTTGTCCAGTCGCTAGTTGCTCTGATATCTGCGCTGACTATGCGAACTGCTGTTTGGGAAATGATACAACCTAGTGTACGTGAAGGTCTTATGAATTGTATGTATTTAATTTATGACAGTACAGTTAATTTATTATTACGTCCGAGGATACTTAAATTTATAATTGACGGTGTTAGTGTAGAAAGTGCTGAAGACCTTCATTGGTGTGATGAAAAATTACCGAGTAATGAGCTTAAATTAGTTGTTAATAAATTGATTGTCATTAATTGGTGGTGCGCACAATGTTTTGTTAGATTTTCTCCGAGGCTTAATGCATTGGTTGACACTATTTACACCCAAAATTTTTGGCACACACCACTTGCTGAAATAAACTTTGGACCACCTCAAATGTCTATTAATTCCGGGCCGAGTTTAACTTATGGGACAATAATTAGTTCTACTCAATTGTTTACTCAAGCTCTTAATGTACATCTTGCTATTAATTCTTCGCCAAAAACTATTCAAAGGACACCCTCTAAAGATGGTATGGACTCTGCAAAACGTGAATGGGAACGTTCAACTCCGGAATATCCGAGGAAAATTCATCCCAAAGATTTGAGACGTGTCTTCAATGTCTCCGGGCCGGCTCATGCGTATTTTGATCACTCGGGTTACGCTTCTAGTCATGGATTACTTGGCAATCCTCGGCTTCTCAGGCGCCCGTATGATCCTTTAATTTGTGAGAATACAATTCTTTCAAGGACAACGCCGTTTTCTCATCACACCAGACACGTGTCCAAAAACGGGACTCAAAATCAGAGCGTTAATGTTGGACAGTCCATTAGGGTTGACGCTAATCCTTGGTTTGATTCGATGGATAAAAATAATTCAAGGCTTGCTTTAGAGATAAATCTTGTTCTGGTTCTCTGTCAGACTTTGGAAGGTGTTAAGAGCCCGAGACTTGCATTGAGAGATCGTCAGCTTATTGCCCGTGAAACTGCAAATGAGATTGGGATGTTCTTTGATTTTCTCGAGCAACGAGCCTCTGGATTAAGCGATTGGGATATTCAGGGTGCGTTAGTTGGTGTTGGTATGAACGAAGCGTCTGTGAAAATTATTAAGCCACCGGTTAATGTGTTAACGATTAATGCTCAGCTCAGTAATCAAAGCACGATTAATAAAGCTCCTGTTAATGCTATTGAATATAATCCTGGTGAAGGAACGTCACGTGATGATGATTCACAAGAAAAGGAAGTACGGCTTGATGATAATATTGTTTCAACTGGGTGTTATAATATTAGTTCTTATAAAATTAAATTTTTGTCATTGCTTGGAAAGCTTTTTAAATCTACGTTAGAATCCCTCGATTCTGCACAATATGGATAATTTATCTACTAATTAATGTTTTTTTTTTTTTTTTTTTCAATGAAAAATTAATTTGTACATCGATATAAGTAAACTTTGACTTAATAAAGGAATGTTTAATATAGGAAGGTGGATTATTTTTGTAAAGCAAACAATCCGGTTTTTATCTGTCGTGCTAGACGTAATTTATCTAATATTCAATTATTATTATTATTATTATTATTTCTTTTTTTTTATACGATACAGTAGAAAAATATAATTCGAAGTGCTAAAGAATATCATGCTTTACGTCTTCACATTGCCGTAGCTCTGTTTAATTTTTATTTAATTTTTTTTTTTAAGTTAATTAATGATTGTTCAATCAAATTTGGTAATTAGAAAAAATAGACCTGGAAAAAATTTTTAAGTTATGAAAAATTCATATTATTTTATTAAAATTATTATAAAATAAAAATTATAATAATAATTTAATAAATTTATAATTTTTATTTTATAATAATTTTAATGAAATAATATGAATTTTTCATAACTATAAAATTTGTTTTTTTTTAATTTTTAAAAATAAGGTAAAAGCCCCAATTATTAACAGGGGTCTAAATATTGACACCCTAAATTATTTTTAAATATATTTAATTATCTGTAATAAGAATAACTATCATATAAATTTTTATTTTACAATAATTTTAATGAAATAATATGAATTTTTCATAACTTAAAAATTTTTTCCAGGTCTATTTTTTCCGAAATTCATCAAATTTATATTAAAAATGGCGGTAATTTACTAGCAACAGTAATATATCGTCCTAATGATGATTTGTGAACAATGAATTAGTGTAGCGATTTATTGTTTATTATGTGTAAAAACAATGAAAATATTGTTTGTGAAATAAACGACAATGGCAACGGCTGAGAGGTAATGATAGTCCACAAGTAAATAGACTATCCAACAATTAAAAGCATGTAAATGACAAATGCTAAGGCGGCAAGTGTGGCAGAACGTTGTCTGATGACGGTGGCAAAGGTGGCGGATATTCATGAGATGATTCGTGATTTTGAGGACCGGTAGGTGGGTTTGGCTGAGTTACCATGGGTGTAGACATAACATTTGATAATACGTTTGAAGTCGACGTCGACGACGACGATGACGATGACAGAGGTGCTGTTGATGACGGGCTCGAGGGAATAAGAGGTGGAGGAGCGGGAGGAGGTAAAAGCGACGACGTAGCTGACGTTACCGTGGCTGATACGGAGTCCGTACTATTGGCATCACCCAGAGGGTCCTCACTCGTGGCGCCGTCCCACGACTCCGTTGACTTTCCTCCCTCGTTGTGATTGTTTGTCATGTTAGGATTCCCTCGCTGTCGCTTCGCGTCGCCGTGGAGCAAACAGTTTACATTCGGCGAGCTGCTTCGGTCACGAACTCCCTCTTGCTCCTCCAAAAATCTGTCCATATAGTCTCTGCTTGCGGTTTTATAAAAATAAATTAAGTTAACTAGTTGTTTTATTTTTTATTTTAATTAATAATTTTTTTTTTTTATTGTATGATAGACACTCACGTGATACCCGGGTGCAAAGCGTATTTTTTCTTTTCTAATCTCGCTTTGTAGGTGAATATATCATGTCGTTCAGTTTTCTTCCATAAATAATAAAATTGAACAAGTTCACCAACAGATCTTGTTCTTACCTAAAAAAAAAAAAACAATTTAGATAATAGAGTTTATTTCATGATAATTTTGAAAAATTTTTTAACTAATAAATTACTAGTCACTATGTGACTGTCATGACTTGTGAAATATAGATAAATAAAATTTTGCTTTATTAAATAATGACTTTTGTTAAATTGTACTGTACTTTTTTAACTATTGAAATTTTTAAAGATATAAGCTCATCCCGAGGTTATACTCACCTAAAGCTTTCATTTGAGTACCCATATGCATTTTCATATATTTTTCATATATATAAATATATCATATATATGAAAAATTGATGTGGGTACTCAAATGAAAGCTCTTGATGAGTGTAACATCGGGATAAGCTTATATCTTTAAAAATGTCAATAGTTCACGAGATACAGGGTCATTTCTTAAGTATGTTTTATAATTGTAATTTTTTTTTAATAATTTTCTAAATCTAATTTATTTAAAAAAAAAAATCAAAAAATTTTCAAATCTGCCAATTTAAATGTTATTTTATTTCTTTGATTATAATACTAAACTTAGCCGATATTTTTAATTTTTTAATAATTAAATTAGAACAAAAAAATATTTTTTAAAAATTGCACCAACAGTTTTTCAAGAAAATTTTTTTTTTAATAAAAAAAAATTCTAAAAATGTTTAAATGTCAGCTAACTTATTTTTTATTTGAATATTTATAGTATAATATGTATACTACTTGTCTAAATTAAAAAAAAAGTACCTTATTTTTCTGAATCAGATGAAAATCTTTCCCGTAAGCTCTCAGCCCCGACTCAAAGTTATGACATTCTTCTTCAGACCAAAGACTAATCGCATCTGTCGGAGGTAATACATTCATCCTTCGTCTTCTGAGCGCTTCATCAAGATTATACCCACATTGGAGCAATAAATACAGAGCTTGTTCATCATCCCGAATGTGAGCACCAGCCGGAATAGAGTTTACTTTATTCGTGGGTAATTGAGCGCGTTCAAGAAACTCCTCAGTCGCGTCCTCCGGAATATAAGTAGGATTCCAAAGAATTTTATCTTCATTTTCATACGGAAGAGCATCATCATAGCGACAGAGACCTTCAGGAATAGTAGCCTGGTAATCACTACCAACCATAATAGTCTTCTTCCACTCTTCTTCATCAGGACTATAATCACAATCGTCATCTTCTTCTTCGCTCTGGGGCCGTGAGACGCTGCGAAGAAGCCGCGAGGAGCCACCACCAACATTACCACTTCCAACGCTGCTGACTCCAACTTCCCTTGACACTCCAGTCCCCTCGCCATCCTCGTCATCATCCTCTTCTTCGTCTTCTTCGTCATCATCGTCTTCTTCATCAACAGGTCTGCCAGCGCCATTGTCATTATCATCGCCTCCTCCACTGTGCGCATTATTCCCAGGCTCGCCACCACCTTCTCCATCAGGCGGAGCGTCTCCCCCAGGACCACTAACTAGACCGTCTCCCGCGTCTCTGTTGACGTTCCCATAGGACACGCCACAAAATCCGTCATCTCTGTGTTTATCTCCGGTAGTTCCCGAATGACGAGCGTTAGTCGCCTTGGCGCCTATTTCGTTCAATCGCTCCGCTTCTTTTTTCTTCACCATCTCGGTGTAAAATTGTCGAAGACTCGGCTGTGATTTATTCGCTATTTTTCGTCTCACATTCGCATCCTCGTCATCGTCTTCGTCATCTTCATCATCTTCGCCATCATCTTCATCCTCATCGTCTTCTTCTTCCTCGTCATCAAAGTCCTCCGCGTCGTTTTCTCCCGGTTTTTCCGAGGAATTTAAGCCGGACTCTGGTTCATCGCCTTCTCGAATCAGTACCAGCTGATCAGAACTATTTGAATTGTCTGTTGAAGTATGGCTGTAGCCATACTTTGCCAGTAACTCTTTCAATGGCATATCTCCTTCCTGAAATGATTAAAAAAAAAAAAAAATATTGTCATTTTTACAATCGTTAGATTAATTATTTATTGGTAATTATTCATAAGTAGGGTTTTAATTTTAATTTTTTTGAACGAAGTTTAAAAAAAGAAATTTATAAATTTTTTAGAAAATTGTGATATTTAACTTTTTTTTTTTTTAATTGTTCATTTTTTATGTATTTTTCAAAAAAAAAAATATATCAAAAACATTAAAAAAAGATAAAATAGAAATTTTATCCAAAAATATGAGCCAAAATTTTTTCCAACTTTTGAAGGTAAAAAAGCTATTGAAATCTTTTTTTTCCCGACATTTATTTCATAAATTTGCCGTAAAAAAAGTAGAATAAAAAAAAATTTTAAATGTTAATTTTTTACCTAGTTATAGCCAAAAATAGGGTGGACCCCACTTGTAAATAATTACCTTTTTGGTAAATATTTACAAGTGGGGTGAACCATTTTAATTTTAATTTTTTTGAACGAAATTTCTATTTGATTTTACTAAATTTCTATTTGATTTTATTGATGTATTTTTTTTTTAATGCATAAAAAATAAACAATGAAAAAAAAAAAGTTGATCACAATTTTAACAAATTCAAAAAAATGATAAATTTTTTTAGAAAATTGTGATATTTAACTTCTTTTTTTAATTGTTCGTTTTTTTACGTACTTATCAAAAAAAATAAAATAGAACTCCAAAAACGTAAGCCAAATTTTTTTTTAACTTTTGAAGGAAAAAAAAGCTATTGAAATCTTTATTTTTTTCTTTCACGACATCTTTTATCATAAATGCGCCGTAAAAACAAGCAGAATAAAAAAAATTAATAAATATTAATTTTTCACCTAGATATGGCCAAAAATAGTGTGGACTCTACTTGTAAATAATTACAATTTTTTAATAATAAACATAAAACTAACTTTTTGTAAATTTGACAGTTCATTATGAGAATCTTCACTTCCTTCCATAGCCTCTTCTTCATCTAGAGTTCGTTCGTCGTCAAAATCGTTCATTATCAGGTCTGACGACAGACCTAATTCGTAAGTACGATCCGATCTAAATTAAAAATAAAACAATAAATAAATAAATAAATAAATAAAAAAAAAATTGTTATGATACTCAAGACAGCAGCCACCTGATTATTTAAAAACTAAAAACAATAACAGATAAGAAATAAAAATAAATACACTCCAAAAAAAATCCGACGCCTGCTATCTCCAGTATCACTAAACAACAGCTTAAAATTATATTAATACCCCAAGCTAGAGTACCTTTTGGAGCATCCATTGCCTGTCATTCTTCTGGTAATTGTCCTTCCAACATTCGGAGCGCCAGTACCACTGGCTGTGTTTGCTCTCGGCGACCTGGAGTCTTGGAGCATCTTGTGGATAACAAATCACAGCGTCATTAAACAGCAGCTGTTTGTCACCCACAAACATATCAAAACAGAACGTTATTATTCACAACACAGTCCCGTCTCTCTGACAGAGTTTTCCGCGTCAAAGTACCTCCAGGTTGCAAACAAAAAATTTCACCACTCTACACTTAGTCCACAAAGCTCTTCGGAGTTCATCAGTGCTTCTCAAGATTAACAAATTATCTCAGAAGTAAGTGTATGTATATAATCGCAACGCGCGGGTGCATCGATTCATCGCGCTTCTTATTACAATTACACACAACATACAATATACATACACAATAAAATTTAGCGATGCAAAAGCATCGATAAATGGCGTAACCTAGAGACAATACTACAATACTCCCAAAGTGTTTCTCGGCTTCCCCGACGAGCGCTCTGGAGCGCTCTCCAGTCGGCGAGTCCGCCAATTGCTTTTCTCAGAATGTATTACACAAAACATTCGACCTACCAATAATCACCAGGTATTTCATCTGAAATTACGGTAAAAAATATCATTAGCCTGATGAATATCAATGATAATAAATAAAATTGTTTTTTCTATATCAACAAAAGCTTACTTGGGCTACCTGACTTGACACCTAGCGTAAATGGCGGTCAACAATGTACATAACAGTGGTATTAAATATATAATATGAATAAAATCATAATACTGAAGTTAGCCGTCAGCTGACAATTTTAAAAATTTTTTTAAATAAAAAAATGCTTCTAAAAATTTTCACTTGTAATTTTTATTAATTTTTGCACGTGGAATTTTTTAATTAAATTTTTTTTATAATAATTTAATTGTTATAAAATTTTAAAAAAATTTTTACCAACTTCAGTATTATAAAATCACAATACTGAAGTTAGCCGTCAGCTGTCATTTAAAAATTTTTTTAACAAAATGACAATAAAAAAATGCTTCTAAAAATTTTCACTTGTAATTTTTATTAACTTTCATGAAATTAAAGTTAGCTGTCACTTTACAGTTTTTAATTTTATTTAACAAAAAAATTTGTTCCAAAAAATTGCATTTTTAATTTTTTTAAATTTCTACATGTCAATTATTTTTGCCATAATTTATTTGTTATAAAATTCTTAAAATTATTAAATAAATGCTGAATTAATTTTCACACGTGTAACTTTTTAATTAAATTTTTTTTTATAATTAAATTGCTATAAAATTCTAAAAAAATTTTTAACTTCAGTGTCATATAAAATCAGCAGCAGCTTTTGCTGTCTCTCTCTCTCACACCAATTGCTTGGTTATTTCCATCGCTTCATCTTCGTCTCTGCCGACTAATTCAAAATTAGTCCAAAAGAGTACGTTGCTGTATTTAAGTCATGCTTGCTGCTATTGCCTATAAGTACTTGTACTTATACTTAGTACTCATTAGTCATACACATTGTACACGGTACAGTAGATCGTCACAAAAATATCATCGCACACGTTTGATCGCTCGAGTGATGAGTAGAGGTGAGGAGATAACAAGTGTATTATTATATTGTGTCTTTAGCTTTAGCTTTGGTCTGAGCTTAACCACACACTCTTATTATTATTATTATTATTATTATTATATTACTTGCTTTTGGTGTGTATCTGCACTCGCTAATGGTACATATCTCATCCATAGAGGGCAATACAAAATCCAAGAACATTAAAAAGTCATCATTGTGTTTTTCACCGGGCAACATATGAGAGCAAGTCGTTGTGCTTCCTTTTTTCATATTCATATTGATTGTGAAACCTTGAAAATAAAAAAAATTATTTTTATTAAATAACACTAAAGTTCTGGAGGTTAATATATTAAAAAAAATTTTTTTTTATCTACTTTATTATTTGGCTTTTTGCATGCCAGTAAAAAATGTGAGTGTGATAAAAAGTAAATAGTTTAATTGTGTGGAAGTGAAAATTAAATAAAAAAAAAGTGTGAAAAAATTTTTTTTAAAAACGTGGGTCTTGCATTCCATCTGCTCGAGTGTCGTAGGTTAACCTAATTTACGTATTGAGTAAAAATAGTCGCAACTGTTTGGATTACTGCAGTCTTTATTTTGTTGGTTTTATTTTATGCAATTCTGCACTGTGGTTTTAGATTTTTTTTTTTGCATCACCCACATATTTATTCTCTTTGGATTGGTTATTTTTTATTTATTTTGATTATCAGTTGTGCGTTGGGGTGTGTTTATAATAAAGGCTTTTAATTGGGCGGGAAAATCCCAAAACATCCCAAGCTGCACAATTTTTTTTTGTTAATTTTAAATTGACAATAATAAATTTTTTAACTTCTTGTTAAGTGAAATCTATCAAAAAGTCCACATTTTTTTTTGTAACGCTTGGGATTGAGTGGAAATTAAGTTAATAATTTAACAAAAGCATAAAAATTAATTATCTGCAGTTATAATCAATTTTGCAAGAATTTTTTATAAAAATCAAGTTAGCTGACATCTAAAAATTTTTAGAATTTTTTTTTTATTGAAAAAATAATTATAAAAAAAATAAAAAAAAATTGAATTTGTAAAAAATTTGCAAAACTATAAGTGCAATTTTAAAAAAATGTTTTTTTGTTATAATTTAATTAATGAAAAATAATAAAAAAAAATCATGAAAATTAAGTTACCTGATATCTAAAAATGTTTAGATTATTTTATAAACATTGAAAGTAATTTTTAATTGGATTATTCTAGACTATTTTTAATTATAATTTATATTAAATTTAATGTGTACGTATTTATAAATGTGCTTATTAATTGTTAATTTTTTTTTTTCTAGATAGCACGAGATTAAAAAGCATTACTATTATCAAGTGTGGGTCATGCAGACCACTTGTAGAGTAATGTGATGAATAACTGTGAGAACTCTAGCGCGAGCACAAAGCTACAGGGATCCAAAAGCTCTGAGCTTTGGGAAGAGTCCACAAGCAGCCCGAGCATCAAGCCTGGAGAAGAGACGGCGGATAAGCTTGATAAAAAAGCTAGTAAATTGAACAAGGGTGAGAGTGATACTAATTCAAGTTCTGCAAACGATTCTGGTGTACCGAAAGACACACTGGTAATTTGTCCAAGAAATTCTGATCGAGTTGTAGAATTGCCAGGTTTTACGCGCATCAAACAACGGTCTGGTGGTAGCAATACTCGGTATGTATTTCAAATGGCTCGAGGAAACAACAGCGGTGAACGGGTTCGTTCTGGACAGCGAGGAAGGCCGTTTAAGAAGAACCAAACTGATCGAGAGTCAAACAGTGAAGGAGGAAGCTATCACTCGACGTCTAGACAAAAATTTCAAGAATCGTTGAAAAATCATGATAATACTCAGAATAAATACTACGATGATAAACGATTAAACGGTAGTTATTTATTCTGTTATACATATATTCGTTTTATAGTTTAGTTTATATAATTGATACTTACTTTGTTTATTCAAATGTTTTTACAGATGAATCAAGAGTCACTAAACTTTTACGGCGGCTCTGTCGAGAAAGCGATGACCATTTTTTACCTCTTTCAAAACAAGTTCTGGAGAACTTTATGATTCCTGAAAATCACAGATATATTAGGAGTAAATTGGAGCCACTTTGTGAATACCTTCATGATGCTTTAAGATTAAGTCCAGATGCTGAGTCCCAGAAACAAGTCATCAAATGTTTAGCTTACGTTGGTTTTATCGCTGATCGTGAATTCAAAAGGTTCCAAATTTATTTTATTTATTATTTTTTTTTTTTAAATTATCAGGAATTATAATTTAATATGTAAATATTTTCAGATACTTGGAGTGGATTTTTGGAAAGTGCTCAACTGAACGGAAAGACGATATTAAATGTTTGCTGTTAAAATCACTGGGAGAAACTTTAAAGATGGATAATAGAATGGAAAAGTTCAATGATTTTGCCGCGGTAATTATTTTATTTTCACATTATAGAGATAATTATAATTAATAGAGACAAAACTGCTTATTTTCATAGTCAATATTGTATTATTTGCTTTAATTGTGAGACTTTACTTGATAATTATCATACAATTACAAACAAAGTTAGAAAAAAAAAAAAAAAAAAAAAACAAATAAATATTTTATCACAATAGAATAAAATTCCTATAATTAATATTAATTAAAAAAAAAAAATGATTTATGATTACAGACGATAATTTCTCGGCTACAAGCAACGTTGGAAAATGTCGAAAGACCAGATTTACTTATGGCGACAGTCGACGTCATACTTATTGTCATTGAATCCTGTCCAGAAATATTTTCAAATTACTTTCGTGACACTGTAGATATTTTAGTTGGTTGGCATATTGACTTTACCCAGTCAAAAAAAGTAATTGCTTATGCAAGTCGCAGTCTAAGAAAACTCGAGACATTTTGGATTTCCGATATGCAGTTTACTTTGACATTGCTGAGCCAATTTCTCGAAGACATGGAGAGTTACGATGAAGAACTTACACTACCTAGTTCCGGAAGAAGTTCTCCAGGCGACGAACCAATACCTGGACCTAAAGAGTGTATTTTAAGAATATCCTCACTGATTTCAGTGTTTAACACCGTGGTCAAAAGTGTTTCTGACAATCTTAATCCGAGTATCAATCCAACAGTTCAGTGGAGTTTTTTAACCGAGTGTTTGTTAAAAATGTTGAGGACTGTAATGAAGGCTATTGAAGTTGATGAAAATAGAGACGAGAATAATGATGTACAAGACGAAAATTGCAGTGACAATGTTGAAAGTTTAGTTGATTATGTAAAAGATATTAAATTATCCCAAAAAAATATTGATACGTTAATTAAAAATGTTAATCAAGACGGATATAGTAACAAACAAAATTTAATAAAAGCCATAAAGTCTTTGAATTACAACCAAAGAAACGAAAGAAGAAATTCTTTCTACCGTCTAAATTCTTCTTTAGACAAAGACAAAGAGCAGATATTAATAAAGTTAATAAAATCTTTAGAATTAAAAAAAGAAAATAAAAAAGAAGATGCGTCCCGTGAAAAAGAAGAATTAATAATTGTTGCAAACGAGTGCGCTTATCATCTTCTTGGATTTATTCAAACAAGAATTACAAACAACCACGATTTACTTTACGAGTTTATTGACCTTCAATTAAGCAAAGTGTATATTTTTCTAGACGATACTATTATTTCAACCCTCCAGATAATTTCAAAGGTTATCAGAGAAGTATCAGCGAATCTCCCGCTGGAAATAGTACACAAACTTCTCGGCAGTGAATCTGTATTATTAAAATTACGACTAAGAAATTCAATAGCTCTTCAAGAAGCTAGCCTATCAGTTTATCACAGTCTTCTGGGATTAAAAAATATTCCTTTGCTCCAAGAAGCGTATCGTTACATACTCAGTGATCTGGAGATTGCTTACAAATTGATCGTCAAAAATTTCCAAGGCTTTGTCACTAACAACCCTCTTAATGAAACGAGTTACAACCCCGAGGACGCTGAAATAATAATTATCTTCATTCTTCGCGCTCTGTCAGACTTGGCCAATGCCAGCAACTCAATAATCGGGATGTGGGCATTGAAACCGAGTATTTTAGAGCTTCTGGCTGTTAAAATGTGTCCTTACGATCCAAATTTATCCCAAAAAAATCCACTTCTTCAGTACAGTATCTTATATTTACTATACGCTCACTCTTCAAGATACAATCACTTTGTACCAAGTTCAAATTTGATATCAGGATCTAACAATTGTCGCGCAATTGATATGTTCCCAGGAGCTCTGGATGTACCGACAGCTTCACCAACAAGCGGTCACTTGTCAACAATTTTAAACCTAATTGTAAAATGTTTTGAAACAAACACACCCGAAAAAACATTTTTATTATTATCAACTTGGGTCCAAGAAATATTTGTCCAAGCGGAAAAATATTTGGGAATTCTCAACCAAACTGAGGAATGTAAAATGATTGTCTCAAGTCTTATGTCTTGCGGAGCGACTGCTAATCACAAAATATCCCTGTCAATTTGCAACAATTTGGAGATTTTGATAAGCGACAAGAAAGTTTTATGGCCCGAGTCTGTTTATATTAAAATTGTAGATCTAGTAATTCTGCACTTAACCTCTTATGATAAAGCTGTAAGAAGTAAATACGGAAATTTATTGATGAATTTACCGATTAACATCGTAATACCGAGAATAAATAGGCAGTCTCTTCAATCCGAGACCAAGAAACAACGAACGATTGATAATTATTCTATTGAATCTCTTGTAATTGCCCAAAGACTTCACATGCGAGGTTATCAAAATGATACTAGCATTAGTTCTAATCCCAGTAACTCTTACGGAGAAATGCAGTCTCAGCACTTTAAAACTTACATGGCTTTTTTACTCCAAGATTACAATTTTGACGCTTTGGGTTTGTCTGAAATATTTACCTTGTGCTGCCCAGTGGTAGCTCGTAACAACACTAGCGCAAAAATGTACGAATTTGGAATGACAAACCAGTCATTTTTATTTTTCTGGAGCGGGCTTGAAGCTGCGCAGCACTGTGTTTTAAATAAATTAAGAACAGCTTTGGGAAAACCCCAAGAAACTTTTACTACAATCGAAGGAGCGCTTAAGACACTAGCCCGAGATATTTCTTGCAAGCCAGAAGTTTCTAAAAATGACAAACACGGGTTGGATTATTCTCTTCATGAGCATACAAGAGTAAGATTGTTTGTTGAGTTTTTGGAACATTTGGAAAGAATGATTCACAATGCAGCGGAAGGCTGCGCTGTGTCCTTGCTGCCTCTTCCAAAGCCAGTAAGAACTTTTTTCCATACAAATAAATCTACTTGCAGAGAATGGTTGAACCGGATACGTCTAGCTCTGTGTGTTGTGTCTCTCCACGCGGGTTTGGCTACAAATGCGCTGAGAAACGGACAGCGATTGCTCGAGGACTTGAGCGAGAGTGAAATGGTGCAGGGGCCTGAATTTGAAAGAGCGACTCTTTGCACGGCGCAAGCTTTAGTGATGCTAGGAGAAGCAGAAGCTCTTCAGGGGCTGTATATTTACACCAAGGAGTGCGACAGAAAATTCTTGTGGCTCAAAGCTGCGATGGAGGAAGCTGCGGGGAGGTATGAGAGCGCTGCGGAGAGCTATAAGGTTATTTTAAAGGAACACCCTTCGGTAAAAGAAGAATCTGAGGCAAGTGAATTGGTTAAAACTGATGGAGATACTCAGGTTGCGGTGTTTGTCATGCAGCGGCTTGCTAGATGTTACTCTGCTGTTGGAGATTGGGAACAGTTGGAAGCCTGGAAGATTTCTGAGGCTGAGATTCTTAAGAAAGAAAGCAATGAAATTTTAAAGAGACAAATGCAGACTCATTCTAACTCTAAGCAAGCTACTTGCTTGAAAGATTTTGAGTTAGGAAAGGTTTCAACGCTTGAGAAATTATCTGACTGGACTCTTTTGGATGAAAAAGCTACTACTAATTGGAGCTGCTCTAAAACTATCGCAGAGTGTTCTAATACTTTGACAAATGTCGCTTTAAAATTACACGCTGGTAAAAGCAGTGATGGGTTCCGTAAAAATGTCGAGTATTGCAAAAAAGTTGCGGCTAAAATAATTGAAGAAGGTTTACGTAATATGCCTTCAGAGTATTTAACTGATTCTATTCTTCTCCAGTATTCTGCTTGCAGTCTGGCTAATCTTCTAGATCATAAAAAAGTCGACATGTTTGATCTTTCTCGTGTTACTAAAATAAAAAACCTGGGAGCTAATACAATGACACAAATACTCTGGTGGTCTGAATATTTGGCTAAAACACCGGAAAATTTATCAACTGGTGAGCAAGTTGCGAGTTTGAGATTAGATTTAGCGAAAAATGCCCGCAAAGAGGGTAATTTTAAATTAGCTAAGCGGCAAATTGAAAAATACTTTGCTAATGAACACCTTTTAGGAGAATTTGATTATAAATTTGCTGATATAACTGCAAGTATCTTGGAGCAGCCGGTAAATATCACTTGGAGTAAAAATAACATGCGTGCTTTTAAGGAGATGTCTAAATTGTTGTACACTATGGATTCTATTGAAAACGCGGTTAAGGTTTGCAGTGTCACGGCTTTAGGAATATCAAGAGCGATTATTAATGACGGAGATGAGATAAATGAGTTGAGAGAAACGGGGACTAAATTGATGCTTACTTTGGGCAAGTGGATCCAACAGCAAGAAATAAATGTCACTAACAACGGACAACTGAATCAACTGCTTCAATTCGAGGCTCTGCATAACGACGGGTTAATGGACAAATTATTTGGGCAAACTACAGAGCTTATTCCGCATTCAGATATGGTAATTGGAAAGCTAATGCAATTGGGAGTGAATCAATGCCCGGATTTTCCGAGCGTCTGGGCGAATTTTGCTGGCTGGTGCTACAAGTGGGGACGTAAAATAGTCGATAATTCCCAATCTGGACAATTAACAGAGGTAGATGTAAGTAATATTCGTGCTCTTCTTCCAGAGGACATCACAGAAGCAGACTCTAATGCTATTTTATCAATATTGAGTCAAAATAAAAGCATTCCTGAAGATGAGGGTGATATTGAGACAAATGATGTTAAAACTTCCGATATGATAGAAAATCAATTGCGTCAAGTGCCGGCGCTGGTGCAATCTTCTAATCAACACTTAAGTCTGCTTGTTGACATATGGCGGCAAGCTCAAAAGAGAATTTATTCTTATTACGAGCTTGCTGCTAATGCTTACTTTAAATTTTTGGAGCTGACTAACAATGAGTCCAATGATTGCGCGACTATTACAGCTACGTTGAGGCTTTTGAGGCTTATTGTCAAGCACGCTCTAGAGCTTCAGGATGTCCTGGAAACCGGATTGTCTACTACACCCACCGGGCCTTGGAAAGAAATAATTCCCCAGTTATTTTCAAGGCTAAGTCATCCGGAGTCTTATGTTCGTACCAGAGTTTCAGAGCTGCTGTGTCGCGTTGCTGAGAACAGTCCTCATTTGATTACCTTTCCTACTGTCGTAGGAGCTGTTACTGAGCACCCGAAAGATTTCGAAGAGCTTCCAACCAGATACGAAAATTCACCAAGTGGTTTTGACTTTGATGAAGACGATAATGAAGCAATTGCTTTATCTTCTACTGTAGTTGAATCTGGTGAATCTAATGATGAAAACAGGACTTTTATGGACGCCTGCTTTGCTCAGTTGGCTGACTGTCTCTCCAATGGCAACCACGACTCTGTAAATCACGTGAAAATCCTCGTTAAAGAACTGCGCAGGATAACTCTGCTGTGGGACGAATTATGGCTTGCTACTTTTTGTCAACATCACAGTGAATTTTCTAAAAAGTTTGAACATTTAGAAGTTGAAGTCCAAAAAGTCCAGGACAATGTTTGGCTGAGTAATGAAGAAAAGGAAAAATTGATCGCTGAAAAACACAGAATTATTGTCAAGCCAATAATATTTGTCCTTGAAAATCTGCTAGCCATAACTTCTGTTCCTGCTGAGACACCTCATGAAAAATTTTTCCAAGATAAATTTACACCTTGTATTGAAGAGGTTCTACGAAGATTGAAAAATCCGAAAAATCCTGCCAAGCCGCAGTTGTCATCAGCTTCTTTGAAACAATTAGAAGGAAAATTAGCTCAAAAATTCAACAAAAGAGGAAACCATACTTTAAAAATGGCTGACATAAGTCCTATCCTAGCTAATATGAAAGACACATGCATCGCAATGCCTGGAGTATTTGCGACAACTCGTGATAACAAAATAATTACCATAAGATCTGTAGACAACATTGTTCAAATTCTTCCAACTAAAACAAAACCTAAAAAATTAATGTTCCACGGATCGGATGGTCATGTGTATACATATTTATTTAAAGGTCTAGAAGATCTTCACCTAGACGAGCGTATCATGCAATTTTTAAGCATCTGCAATACAATGATGTCCAAAAACAATGATACTAGAAAAGTTTACCGAGCTCGACATTACTCGGTGATTCCCCTGGGACCAAGATCTGGGTTGATTCAGTGGGTAGATGGCGTGACACCCCTTTTTGCGCTTTATAAAAGATGGCAGCAGCGCGAAAGTACCATGGCGGGAAGCCGCAATACTGGAAATTCCACCGCTGTAATGAGACCTTCAGAATTATTTTACAATAAATTAGCTCCTTTGTTAAAAGAGCACGGAATTCCGCTGGAAAATAGAAAAGAATGGCCGCTTTCTGTTCTAAAACAAGTTTTATCAGAATTAATGGCAGAGACACCTAAAGATTTACTGGCTAAAGAAATTTGGTGCAACAGTATCAACGCTGGGAATTGGTGGCAAGCTACCAAAAGTTATTCTTACTCCGTAGCGGTGATGTCAATTATCGGGTACATAATTGGTTTAGGTGATCGACATTTAGATAATGTCCTGGTGGATTTAAACACCGGAGAAGTAGTTCATATTGATTACAACGTTTGCTTTGAAAAAGGAAAGACTTTAAGAGTTCCAGAGAAAGTTCCTTTTAGAATGACTCCAAATATTAAAACAGCGCTTGGAGTTACTGGAGTTGAAGGAATATTCCGGCTGGCTTGTGAGCAAACCTTGAGAGTAATGCGCCGAGGGAGAGAAACTCTTTTGACATTACTGGAAGCTTTTGTCTACGATCCTCTGGTAGATTGGCGAGCTGGAGCCGAGCACAGCATTGCAAGTTACGGAGTTTGTCAAGCGCGAGCCAAGTCAGCGGGATTGGGGAAAAAAGAGCTGGAAAAAGAGCTCACTCGTGCGATGTTCAACGTCAGGATCGCTGAAATGCGTTGTGAGTGGCAGATCAACCGTGACTTGATGATCCGAGCGCTTCCAATTCTTTCTTGCCATTTAGCAGAGTGGCTTGAGACTAACGAGTCTCTGCGACAGTGTCAGGATCTTCTGCAAGACCGTCATCAGCAATTAAGTCTTGTTAAAGAAGCTCAAGCTATCGGGCGTAATCACGCTCTTTACTCTGTCGTCAATCGATACAACGCCATTAAAAGAGCCAAAGACGCTTACGAAAAAGCTCAATTGGGATTAAAAGAGAAGATGGACGAGTGCGAAAAGCAGATAAGTATGCACAATATTGCTCTAGCAACTGTCAGAGGTCCTCAATTAGCCCACTGGCTCGCGGAGTACGGAACTCCTTCGGTGACTCGAGATGATCATATGATTTTTGATCTTGTTAAAGAGTTTCTTCAAAATGCGGGACAGAGCCAGATGATTGTCCAGTGCGAGCAGTCAGAAACTGAATTAACCCAATTAGCAAGCCAAGAATCATTATTAATTCGCACTTGCTTGGATCTGCTGAGCCAATATTCAGCTATTTGCAGTCTTTATCCTTTAAGTATTCTTGCGCAGCATCGTACAGTTGCTTATCACTCTCTAGCTGGTAAATTATTCACCACAAGAACTACTGAAGTTTGCAATGAAGTTATGACCCAGTTTGATTTAACTTATCAGTCTCCGGGAGTCAATGATTCTCGTGTTCAAAAAATAATGGCCTTTGCTTATCAAATTCAAGTTATCATGAGCGAAGTTAAGGAGAGATACACAAAAAATTACGAACGTATGGTAGCTAATGAAGGATTGCCGGATGCGCAAGTTAGAATTGAACAAATTTACACGGAAGCTATCTCACAAATAAATGGATTTTTAAAGAGAGACAAGGCGGCTGACAAAGCCTTGGAGTCGGTTAATATCACCGCGCTATGTGCTTTAAATAAAAGGTACCTGATGATGGAGGGAGCTGCCAAGTGTGCTGGTGAATGCTTGGTAGATTTAACGTTAAGAGAAGGTGAATGGTTTCTGGATGAAATGCGATTTATGTCTTCCTTGATTGTCGAGTTAACTTGTCTCATACCAATAGATTTACAAACTAATGATTCTGATGATAATCTTCTGATCAAGCGGACGTTAGAGTGTCTCAAAAGTGCAGATGCAATTTATAAGGGGCTTCAAGAGCTTAATTATAATTTCCAGATGATTATCTTGCCGGAGGCATTGAAGACTATCATCACTGAAGAGCCGAGTGTCGTTGTGATGATCAATGAAATAGAAGAGATTATTAATTCCGCTGGGCGACCTCTTGGGGAAATTTTAGCACAGTTGGAGGTTTATTTAAGGTGCACGTTGATGGACATGGAAGGACCACAAACTGTTGTACAGATTATTGTTGGAAATATAAGATCAAGATTTGAAGCTTTGCTGTCAAGGTCTGTTGAAGCTAATCAAGATTCTGAGTCGCTTACTCCCGGGCAGATGCTGCTGATGGGATTCAATGGGTTGTTTGAAAAGCTCCAGGTAGAAGGGAACACTCTGGTTGCGACTTTAGAGAGCCTGGAGATCCCTACATGCTGGAAAAAAATTGACCAGATAAGAGAAGCTAAGGAAATTGCAGTTCCGATTTTTCACGAAGAAGCTAGACGAGTTTTGGATGATATTTTTTTGATAAAAAGAATTAGTACTATCCATGAATTCTTTGGAATGTGTCGGGAGATTGCTAATGCTTTTAAGGGAGCTGAGGGTAATTTTAATGTATACGATGATGAGAAATTGAATAAGCCGGTGAAGATTTTTACAGCTGATTTTGTTTCAAGGCAGCTTTTGGGAGTTGTTTCTCAGACTCTGGCAATTGCGATTTGTCTTTTATTGCAGAGAATGGGGTTGAATGTTACGGGAGAGATTGAGCAGAGGGACATTGGAGCGGAGAGCAAGGTTTCTATTGATGAATTGTCTAGGAAGGTGGTTGATGGTAGTTTGAAGAGTGGAAAAATTTCGGGGACGCTTTATGGACAAGCTGGATCGTTGATTAGTTCTTTGGAGAGTATTTGGAGGAGGAAACAATGCTCCAGAGTCGCCCAGCAAAATGTTGAGATAACTCGTGGAACACTTCAGAGGTTACAGATTCAATTTACAGCGCATCATTGGATCCATGAGGATAGTTTGTTGTTAACTAGGACTAATATGAGTATGAGTCCTTTGAATCGGCCGAGTTTTATGTTGGAGCTTAGGAAAACTGCCACGGCTTTGTCGGCTTTGCAGGCGAGAGTTTGTGAAGCTAAAGATCAGCAGCAGAATCTTGTGGCTAGTGTTGATCAAAGGTTGAAGTGGGCTGCTGGTGCTAATCCTGCTTTGGCGGAAGTTATGGCTGCTTTTGACAACGCTGTCCAGTCTTCTAATGAAAAACTCACTCGTCAGCAGAATTTGGCTTTGATTATTACAACTACTTGCAATTCTATCCTGCACTATGAAGCGTTGAGGACTAAAACTTCAGAAAGTATTACGCATGATGCAAATTTTATGAAGTTGATAAAACAGTGGGAAGAAAGTTGTATATTGCGTGCGAATTTAGCTGTTAGTATTTCTACTATTGAAGAAAATCTGGTGGAGTTGCTCCAGATGGAAAATAATATTGATAATAATTGGCTGAGAAGGGCTGAGAAAATTACCTCTGATGCGATTCTGGAAAATCAATTGGTGTTGAAGAAGAAACAGGAGTTACATGCACTGACGCATCTTCATTTGAGAGAGAGGACTGCGGATATTCAGGGATTACTTTCGGAACACCATCGGCTGATGACTGATGTTAGGGGATTGTTGAAAACTATGTTGAAGCAGGAGAATAAATCTGGTCTGGATGAATTTTTGTCGGAGTATAGGATTTTTATTGAGGGAATTTCGGCGATGATTAAAGACTTGGAGGTGGATAATCTTGAGCCTTTGAGGGTTATTGAAGCTGAAGGACAACTGGCTACTCTCGCGGGAAAAGTCGCCAGTGTTTATGATGATCTTTTGGAGTTTGCTAATGAGTCGATGAATAGTGGTAAAATCAAGGTTGAGGAAAATATTGCGGTGAAGAAGAAAATTAAATTGATTAAACAGGATATTAGCGGTTGTAACAGTCCGAGGAAAGGAGCTCCATTGGCTAGGGATCCAACTACAGGCAAAGGTAATACATTTTTTTTTATTTTTATTATTTGGAATTTTAAAAAAGTTTTTTTGTTTTTAATTTTTTATTTATAATTTTTTAAAATTATATATTAAGAGAATAAGAAAAATTTTGTGTCCAGGATAATCATATGATAAAATCGGTCAATTAATAGTCAATTAATGATGATAATTAGGCTGCATTTGAAAATTCTCTATCTCTAGATACATAATTAAGAAATGACCTTGTATCCTGTGAACTATTGATATTTTTAAAGATATAGTATTTATATATATATTATATTTATGTATATATGAAAAATATATCAAAAATGCATGTGGGTACTCAAATGAAAGCTCTTGATGAATATACCATCGGGATGAGCTTATATCTTTAAAAACTTCAATAGTTGAGAAAGTAAAGTGCAATTTAACAAAATTCATTATTGAATAAAGCAAAATTGTAATTTTTTTTTTTAGCTGTACAAGAAAGAAACGTGTACGCATTAAATGTCTGGCGACGAGTACGAATGAAACTAGAGGGCCGAGATCCAAATCCATCTCGCAAATATACAACAGCTGAGCAAGTGGAGTACGTAATCCGTGAGGCACAAAATTTCGAGAATTTGGCCCTGCTGTACGAGGGTTGGACTCCGTGGGTGTGAACGCGCGGGTGCCGACGCAACCGCGTCGTTGGGTTTGACTCTCAATTAATAATGGTACTCCTGTGTCGTACCTATTAAAGCCGTTCTACAATTTCGTAGCGGCATTAAATACCGATTACGATTGGCCAGATGTGCTCTGAGGCTGCACATCAGTAATGATGAAAGCTAAATATTAAAACAAACATAATAAGAGCGGTCGATCAACATCCTCACACACCGTATATTAAATAACGCGCGAATATTATAAATTGTTGGCAGCTTTTTAAAGGAAATAATTACACCTCTCTAATATCAATAAATCCATACCCGTCAATAATAATTACACCCAGATCATGTCTTGTTGATCGTCGAGAATAAATTTTAAAATTAATTACTGGACGTATTCGCGCAGACTTAATATTTGTCGGTTTTATTATTAATAATTATCATTATTATTACAGTACGAATCGGTAACTCTTTATCGAGTAATACCCAGGTATTAATATATATTGTTCGACAATTTATATTTATCGATTTCGCGCTTATTATTTAACTTGTACTCATTATTTTTGATTTTAAAAATTCTTTGGACTAAAAAAAAAAACATTTTAAGTTAAAAAAAACTTTCAATTCGACGTCAATAATTATTTAATTTAATTTAATTAAGAAATAAATTCTCAAGTTATTTTCTTTTTACATAATTGGATATAAGTATGAATCACTAGTGTCTAAATTTCATAATTAATTACAATGACCGCGTCCCTATTTTTTAGAAATAATAAAAAAAAAACAAATAGTTAAATTTAAACAAATCGAAATATTTTGTTATAGTAATTAAGATAAAAATTATTATTGATTTATTCAGACTGTTTCTTATATTTGGTACCTGTTGAGCTGTTTAATGAGAAGCCTTACAAAAATTGTGTAAATTCAAAATTATATTATGAAATTTTGATGATTTAAAAAATAATAAAAATTTAATTCAATTATTTATTTGCTTGTATTTTATTTATTTTATTTAATCAAGTACCTGTCACAATAAAAATTTATCGCAATTAATTAATTCTATCTATGAAAAAAAAAAAAAAAAAAAAAATCATTTGATGATTCGCTCGAATGATGAATAAAATTATCTATAATTTACATGACTTGATTATCACCATATTTACATTCCTAATTATTAATATTAGTAATTAATAATAATAATAATAATAACAATGAATTAATTATAGTTATAGAGTAATTATAATAAGTTGTTAGTATTTAGAAACATATATATTTACAAATGTAATTTATGTAAGACTGACCTAATTTTAGCCAATATTTTCATATTTTTCAGTCTCCAAAAATGCTTACCAGCTTAAATACTTAATTAAAAATTAATTAAAAAAAAAAAAAAATACATCTGAAATAATAACACACATTTAAAATATTAAAACTCCTTGAATACTTGCAGCCGACCTGCGACGGCATATTGCACTCTAACCACGATAATTATTAATTATAATTAATGTGGAATGTCCATAATAATAATAATAATAATTAAAATCGAGCCTAAGACTCTTTTCTCAAAAGCTGATCAATTTGGCTTTTATACATCTCTTTAACGTCCTCAAGGTCCAGCTGAAGTTCCTGAGTCTCTTCAACTTTTTCTCCGTACATCTGAAGCAAAGCGTCGTACCTAGTTTGTATTTCACTTAAATTAGCATTGAGCGCCTCAACCTGAACCAATTTAGCCGACAATTCCTCAACTTTCATCGACAAATTGGATAGTTCCATATTTAGCGCATCGCGTTCATTATTTTTACGTGACATTTCCCATTGCAGTGTTTGTATTTCACCTGTAATAACAATAACACAATTTGCCTATGTAGTACAATCAATACTCTGTAAATAATTAACTACCCCGGTTTACATACCTTCCCGAGCTTTCAACTGTGCTTGCAAAGTTTCAATGGTCGATGTTGTGTTTGTACTAGTTCTCAGTCCGTCGTACACATTTGGAAACCGTCCAGAGCTTGTATCGAATATCGAATCATTGAACTACAACAGATAAATAAACTCGATAAAACATTTACAATAGCCATTTAAAGGGGAGGGGTTACATAAGTTCCACAGTTTCAAAAAATTGATTTTTTTTTTTGTCTTATTAAATTTTAAAACATCTCTAGAATATCGCTCAAGGCGCTGTTGTATTATGTTAAAATAAAATATTTCATTTTTTCTATTAAAAAAAATCTGTTGAAAATAGGCCATTTTTTCCCGGAGGAAACCCATGTAACCCCTTAAATTAATAAAATATCCATAGAATTATTTGAAAATAAAATTAAAATTAAACTCACAGCCAACCAGACGCTGTTAGTACTGCTAATCGAGTCTCTCCTGACACTAGAAGTCGGACTGACGCGTGATTCTTCACCCGTGCTCTGCTGATGTTCCAACACATTGCTAGTTTTTCTTTTCTCAGCATCACTGGCAGCCTTCTCCATAAACAGTTTATCTTTAAGCGACTCAATCTCGCGTTTAAAATCTTTCACCTCTTCCGCATGCGATTTTTCAATATTTTTAATCTTCATCATCAATTTTTCTACATCCCCAACAAGTTTTTTATTTTCTAATTTTGTTTCCTCGCACAACTCCTCCAATTTCAGCCTCTCAGCCTCAGCTCTTTTTATCTGAGACTCCAGCAAGGCAATTCTAGACTTCAGATTAATATTTTCCTCGACGTGTGATCGATCAGTCGCAACCATACTGTCTAACTTTGTTTGCAATTCATCAATCGTATCCGACAGTATCTTCTCCTGTTTCATGAAGCTATTAGATTTATACGTCAGATTCGATTGTAGTTGCTCAAGCTGTCGAAGAAGAGGTTTTGTGGCAAGCGAAACCGATTCTGAAAGCTCTTCGCTCCTCGCTTCAGCTGCCTCGAGACGCTTCAACAGGTCGTTGTTCTCCTGTTTCAATCCCTCGATTTTCTTAACGTGGCTTTCTTCCTCTTGACGCAATTTAACTTTCAAATCTTGAACCTGAGCCGACAGCCGACACGACTCCCCAGCGCTCTCAAACACTTGCTTCAACTCCTCCTCAGCGGCATTGAAATTCAATTTAGTCTCAGCCAATTCAACTTTTGCCGCGTCGAGACTCGTTTTGTAAGCATTCATCTTATGCGTCGTATTATCCAACTTCTCTTGCAGCGACAAAATTTCCTTCTCCTGTTTCTTAACTTTAGCAGTAAGCGTGTGAACAGCTTCTATTTGACTCCTCTCCACCTCCTCCTTGGCATTAAGCGACCTTTTCAGTCGGTCTAATTCCGAGCTCTGCTCCTCCAACTGTTCCTTCTGGCTCTTCAAAGTAGCTTCTGTTTCCTTTTCTTTGGCTCGCAATTTTTTAATAATATTCGAGTGCTGTAACTGCTGTTTACTCAGCTTCTCTCCCTCCTCTCTCAGCTGTTTTATAATCTCGTCTTTCTCAGCATTCAGCGAAGAAGATTGGTCTGATAATTCTTTCTTCAAACTCTCAACCTGGTCTTTCAGCAAATCACGCTCTCTGATAGTCTGCTGAAACTTTTTCTCCAATACTGACATACGTTGCGTATACTCGTCTGCTATCAAATTTACGTCTTGATTCTGCTGCGCTCGCTTTTCCCAATTATCTACTTGCAATTTCAAATGGTTATTTTGCTCGTGTAAATCCATGTTCATTCGACTCACGTCGATTAATTTAGACTCTCTTACTTCTAATATCTCTACCAATTCTTGAATACGTTTTCGAAGTTTGTCTATTTCGTTAATACCGTCGTCAGATCCAATACTGATTTCACTGAGCTCACGACTGTGACCTCGAGTTTTCAATGTTTTTGTTAAAAGATCTCCGCTTTTGCACGAGTGGAGATTCGCTGGACTTTGGCGAGATTGCGTTGAACTCGAATCGCCATTTGGACTGAAATATAATTAAATGATTTTTTACAGACGTTAGAAATTTATAGCAATAAAATTTTTATTAAAAAATTTCTATATAGGAAAATTAAAAAAAATTTTTGTCATAATTAGTTTTTTTTTTTAATAAAAAAAATTGTCTACTAACTTCAGTACAATTTATTTTAAAACAGAATTAGTTCTATTCATCCTTAACTTCAAAAATAATTACTAGATACATAATTAAGAAATGACCTTTTATCTTGTGAAATATTGACATTTTTAAAGATATAAGTTCATCCCGATGTTACACTCATCAAGACTTTTCATTTGAGTACCCACATCATTTTTTCATATATATGTATATATGAAAAATATATCAAAATGCATGTGGGTACTCAAACGAAAGCTCTGGACGAGTATAACATCAAGATGAGCTTATATCTTTAAAAATGGCAATAATTAAGAAAGTACAGTGCAATTTAACACAAGTCATTATTTAAGAAAATAAAATTGCAAGTGTCAATAACTGGGTCTTTTACCTTATATCAGTGTTAAATTTATTTTTCAAATAATTAAAAACTAAATAAAATAAAAAAAATCATAACAATTACCTGTACCTGGAAATAATTTCAATATCACTAGAAGTTGTGGTTTCTAGTTCATCACCACTCGTATGACCACTCGCTTGATCCGATCCTATTTTAACTAAATCCGAGCGACTAAAAAAAAAACAAAATTTTGTTTACAACCACAAACATCAATTTCAAAAAAAAGAAAAATCTTTTTCAATATCACAAATATCAATTAAAAAAAAAAAAACAATTACCTTTCCGAAGAAATAGGTGAATGTTCTCGATGCGAAATATCATGTCTTTCCAAATCTGCGAGTATTTCATTTTTCTCCACCATAGCATCCGCGAGCATATTCTTAACATACGAGCTAGAAGTCAATGACCCCTCTTCTTCAGAATTCACCTCTTTATTCGTCTTAACCGTCGAATTTTCATCCGAGCTTGTATCCACCAAAGTTCCTTCACAACTAGAATCAGTTAAGCCGAGTTGATCAGGAGCTCCAAACTCCTGCAAAAGCTGGCTCTTCAATTTATCAGCTTCTGAACTAAGAGGTTCTATCGTCTTCACCAAGTCAATGTCAATTTTTTCCGCCAGACTCTCAACCTTGCGTATCGGCTGAGTTGTGATAGGCTCCAAGGACAAATACAGACTCTGCTTAACATCTTTCAGCGAGTCCAATTGACTAGACTCTAATTGACTACTAGCTGAAGTAATACAAGTAGACTTTGCAGACTCTGAACTATCATGTAGCCGCTTAGATTGGTCCAGTTGCTGTTGAAAATTCTCCATAATCGTCATCATGGTGCTCTCTGAAGCCGAAGTATAGGAGTCTTCTGCCTGGCTTATTTCATCCGACTCATCAATGGTCTGACAAGTTTCCAGAGCGAATAAATTGGATTTCTCCAAAGATCCAACTGAGAAAGATTGAAGCTGACTTATTGGAGTCAGCTCTTCAGTATTTTCAGTGTCTTCTAGCCTCAAACTCTTAGACTCTTCCATCGGCGACGCGTAAGGCGAAATGTCTGATGAAGAATTTTTCAACGACTCAGATTCTGGCTCAAAAAAAGTCGTGGCAGCATCTGGCGATTTATTGTAACCCATTGGGGACAAAAATGGACTCTCCGTCTTGGAAGGGTCCTCTAGTATCTCCACAGAGCTGGGACTGGTCACCAAGCTGTCCGGTAAAATCTCCACGGACTCAGAATTCCTCTGCAAGTCCAAAGTCGAGCGACTAAGACTTGGCGAGTCGGTTGCTGAAACTATTTCCGAGTCTGGCGTCGTTGTACAGTCTGTGTTAGTAGCAGATCTGGACCCGAGGATCTCCACGCTCTCTGAGCTTTTTTTATCGCTCTCAGAAGACAGCAGTGAGACTCTGTTCACCAGATGGCGACTGTAGATCAGTTTCTCGCCAGAACTTTTAGGAGACTCTATCTCGGAGTCCGAAGCAGTTTTTGAAGCAGAGTCTGACGTTGAAAAATCCTTGCTGTCTTTCTTCTGGGCCGTCTTGTCAGTGTCATCTTCTGTAGACTCGGCGTCGAGGTCAATAGACTGCGAGCTGGAGGGAGATTTATTTTGGACGCTTGCTAAGTTGTCCGGAAGAGACACTGAGGATGTCACTAAACAAGTGTCTAGGCTTTGGTCACTGACCTCGCGGAGCGACCTGGAGCTTTTGCTCTTGTCGGATGTTTTCGGTGGCTCGAAAAAGGAACCCGTGAAACTACCCCATATGCTGGAGTCTTGTTTAAGGCTGCTAGTCTGCTGGATTGCTGGTACACTGCTCTCGTTTTTTATGCCCCAGGCGGCGAAAAAATTAGAGTCGTCTATCACTGGTGACTCGGCGACTTTTTGCTGCTGTTGATCTTCTTCTTTTATGTCCAATGCTTTGTCGATTGTCTTCTGCGCTTCTTTTAGAGCGGACTTTGCCAAATTGGCGAATCCTGAGGCATCGAACCAACTCATTGTTTTTTAAGGCTAAAAATATAGTCAAGTTTAGGATAAATAAGTACAAGTAGCCATGAAAATAAATTTAACAGACATTTGACAAATTTTCTTATTAAAAAATCTGTAAAAAAAAATTTGACATGCAAAAATTTTAAAAAAAAGGTAAGTGCAATTTTTTAAAAATATTTTTTTAATTCTAATTGATGAAAAAAAAAAATAAAAAAAAATTTTTTTTTAAATGTCTGCTAATTTAAGTATCATTAAATAGCTAATGATTATTTTTATAAAAAATATTTATTTTAATAAATAGGTTATTAGTAGATAAATAAATAAAATAAATTACCTGAACATGACAACAGAATTTATTATTTATCTGTTAACTCCATTGGTTAGATAAACATATTTAAATATTTAAAACCTTGGATTACACGTCAACCTTCAATATGACGGCTACGCACCTCCAATAAATATCTGCATACAGTAGAAAAATTATAAAATACTTATGCTTAGTTTATTACGAAGGTACAAAACATTTTTCAGGAGTATTTATCAAAACATTTCATTATTAGTTGACGTACATACATAGTCCACCATCACTACATAACCATCATAACCAGACTATTAGCAAGTGTATAGCAAGTTCAGTTTTTTTTTTCACAAGTTCTAGAAACCCGTGATCAGCTGTTGTTGTTGTTGTTATCGACGCAGGCGGATAAGTATAAAATTGAAATAAAAATTTCTTCTTTTCCTACAAAGTAAAAAAATATTAAAATAAAATTTTTTTTATTTTAATTAATAATTAAATTATTTATAATGTCATTTAGATTGCCAAAATTTTTTATTAGAAGGGCGTTTTGTTAAAATAACTATTGTTTTCATGTGCGGTGACAGTCTACGCTGTTATATAAATGTTTTGCTCTCGAACATCAACTGCTCCAGTGGCGCAATTGGTTAGCGCACGGTACTTATAAGACAGTGAAACGTGAGCAATGCCGGGGTTGTGAGTTCGAGCCTCACCTGGAGCATATTTTTGTGGTTGTTTTTTCAAATTGATCATTATCGTTCACATATGCTGCTTGTTTCTGCATTCATTACTTCAGTGCTTGCTTCATGAATTTTAATTTAACTTCAAGGGGAAAATTCTCCGTGTAATTATTTAAAATTTCATATTCTGAAAAAAAGAAGTGGGTTTTATTTCTTTTTTTTGTATTCATACTGAAGTTAGCTGAAAACTGTCAATTTTTTTAATTTTTATAAAAAAAAAATTCTTTAAAAAAATTCTATTAATAATTTTTTTTTTTTATTTATAAATGTGGAATTTTTTTTCAGCTGACAGCTCTCAAATTTTATAACAAATTAATTACAGTAAAAAGAAAACTTCTAATAACTTTTTTTTTAATTTTCATATGTAGAATTTTTTTATCAAATTTTTTTTCATTATAATTTAATTGCTAAGAATTTATAAAAAAAAATTCTTAGTTAACTTTATTTTGTTACAATAATAAAAAAAAAAAAAATTAAATACATTAAAAAAAAGCTTCTAATAATTTTTTTTTAATTTTTATATGTAGAATTTTTTTATTAAATTTTTTTCATCATAATTTAATCCTAAGAAGTTATAAAAAAATTTCTTAGTTAACTTTATTTTGTTACAATAATAAAAAAAAAAAAAATTAAATACATTAAAAAAAAGCTTCTAATAATTTTTTTTTAATTTTTATATGTAGAATTTTTTTATTAAATTTTTTTCATCATAATTTAATCCTAAGAAGTTATAAAAAAATTTCTTAGTTAACTTTATTTTGTTACAATAATAAAAAAAAAAAAAATTAAATACATTAAAAAAAAGCTTCTAATAATTTTTTTTTAATTTTTATATGTAGAATTTTTTTATTAAATTTTTTTCATCATAATTTAATCCTAAGAAGTTATAAAAAAATTTCTTAGTTAACTTTATTTTGTTACAATAATAAAAAAAAAAAAAATTAAATACATTAAAAAAAAGCTTCTAATAATTTTTTTTTAATTTTTATATGTAGAATTTTTTTATTAAATTTTTTTCATCATAATTTAATCCTAAGAAGTTATAAAAAAATTTCTTAGTTAACTTTATTTTGTTACAATAATAAAAAAAAAAAAAATTAAATACATTAAAAAAAAGCTTCTAATAATTTTTTTTTAATTTTTATATGTAGAATTTTTTTATTAAATTTTTTTCATCATAATATAATTGCTAATAAGTTATAAAAAAATTTTTTAATTAACTTTATTTTGTTACAATGATTAAAAAAAAAATTTTAATAAAAAAAAAAAATTTAATAAATTAAAAAAATCTATTTTTTAAATTAAAAAAATTGCATATAAAAAAGACAGAATATTAATTATAATAGTTTTATTTATTTCAAGTTGATTTTCGTCGAAAGTATCTATTGTACAAGTGCAGTGATGACAAATCTAAAAATAATAATATAATCTAATCTCTAAGTAGGTATTATATAAAATTAAAACTCAAGGTGCTGAAAAAATCCTATGTTACGTTCACTTCATTCATTACGTTTATAATAAATGTAATAATTACGATTTACTCTCTCTATAATTTTTCTGCTCGCTAAAATAAATTTTATATATAATATCTATTCGAATAAATACTGAGTTATTTTAAATGGCAGTCATACTTTTTCAGCTTCGTATTAATAATTAATCGTTGAAGTTATAAAGTGTACAGCACAATGCTAAATTATAAAATCAATAATAATATTTATCGTTGTAATAATAACTAATTAAAAAACAGTACATAAATCTAATGTTGATCTTCCGTTAGATAGTGACTGTGTCATGTTTTTCTTCTTTTTTTTATTATTATATATTTATTCACATATATTAGCTTAGTTTTTTGACCCCTTTTTATTACGTACACTTTTATTATTATTATTATTATTATTATTATTATTATTTATTATTTATTATTATTATTCCTGAACATTTAATACTTTTCATTGTGATTTGATCTCGTTACTTTTCTTCTTTGGCTTTCTTTTTACTTTAACATTTATTTCTTCCTTAAATTATACTATTATAATTTATCTACATATTCCTATAATATATATCTTATATATTATAATTAATAATTATAATTATAATCTCTGATAATGGAAAAAAGATGAGCTCTCGACAATAATTTATGATTTAGTAACTTGACAATAATTATTTTTAGTTATAATTTATAATATAATAAATTTCGATAAATTTAACGAGTTATGATTTTTTAAATTAATTATATTTTGATCCAACGATTTGTAATGACTTTTTTTTATGATAATAAAATTTTCATTCAATCATTAACTTGAGCTTATATTTTTTATCATAATATATACTTTAAAAGTACCACGCGAGTGTGAAATTCTATTGCATTGTAACATTACATCTTATTATATTCTTCTCTAAATATAAATGGTGCATATAAGTAACTCTATGTATATATATATTTATAATGAAATATACATAATTTTTATCATTTAAAACTAATGAAAGTTTGTTGATTGAGGCGCAAAGTAGAGGAGAAGAGTTAACAATAATAAAAACTCCAGCAAACGCACAAATAAATAACAGCACTCATACGTTTTATCACAGCCAAAATCTATTCACATATAGACGCGTAGGCACACACGTACAATATGCATCATTAATACATTTTTCTCAGCTTTTAATTATAATTATTTTAATTAAACTGTCATGAATATACGTATGTATTTATAGATGAATGAAATTCATTGAAAACGGCGAGAAGGCCGTTAAAAATTTTTATCTATTAATCATAATCGTTACTCGCGTTAATGAATATCATCTTCACAATACACAGTACTTCTTATTTTAATTTACATTTTATATTAATTAATAATTAATGTTATGTACACTGAGAAAAAAAATTTCTTCTGTAAAAAATCAAGATTTTTGGGACAAGAATTTTATTTGTTGTAAATTTTTAACGATTTAATTTTTTAACTGAAGAAATAAAATTTTGCTTTATTAAACAATGACTTTTGTTAAATTGTACTGTACTTTTTTTAGTACTGACGTTTTTAAAGATATAAGCTCATCCCGATGTTACACTCATCAAGAGCTTTCATTTGAGTACCCACATGCATTTTTGATATATTTTTCATATATACATATATATAATACACATAAATATATAAAATATATGAAAAATTGATGTGGGTACTCAAATGAAAGGTCTCGAAGAGTATAATATCAGAATGAGCTTACATCTTTAAAAATATCAATAGTTCACAAGATACAAGGTAATATCTAAATTATTAAATTGCACTGTACTTTTTTAATTATTGACGTTTTCAAAGATATAAGCTCATCCCGATATTACACTCATTAAGAGCTTTCATTTGAATACTCACATGCATTTTTAATATATTTTTCATATATACATATATATATAATATATATAAATATATAAAATATATGAAAAATTGATGTGAGTACTCAAATGAAAGGTTTTAATGAGTATAACATCGGAGTGAGCTTATATTTAAAAAAATATTAATATTTCACAAGATACAACGTCATTTGTTAATTATGTAAGAATCTTCAGCTAAAAATTAAATTGTTAAAAATTTACAACAAATTAAAATTCTTGTAACAAAAATCTTCATATTTTACGCAAGAATTTAATTTTTCTCAGTATATAAGATAACCAGACAGAGTATTACCCAGATGAAACTATCATTACATATAATTGAAAGTGGTACATGTGCGAGCTAGAGCTTGTAATAAAACAAAACAAAAAACTCTTCTCCGAAATTCCATCGTAATAATCATTTTCGGTGTATTTGATTGTATAAATATATTACGTAGCACTTAGTACGTATTACTTAAGACATAAATATCCAGTACTTAATGGTCGACTTATCAAATCCGTTTTCATATCATCTTCATCATCCGAAATAAATCTCTTCTATCTCTACTTTTCTCATATACTTATACAATATTGTATTTTATTAAACAACTTTATAATCGCTTACAACCTTTCACTCTTTTTTATAAAGTACTCTAAATTAATAACGCTAGTACTTAATCTTTCTAATCCTTTAGCTCAAACTTTTAATGTCTTTCGCTATATTTAATGTCTTTAATTATATTTCTATAAGACACGCGTTTTAAAGACCAGCGCTAGAGTTTTAAAGGAATAAAATAGTGTAGGTAAGTAATTTGTATGACTTTTTAGTTCCAGCTATATAATCTCTACGATACTTTCCAACGTTTTGGAATTAATAACGGGCATTAAATATGATGACTTTGCTTAACTTTATTTTTATGTACCCCTATAATATGTCAATTTTTATTTTTTATTTTATAAATTATATTTATAATATATGAAGGGGGGAAATATGTGTAGAAGGCCGTTTTAATGCTGATTTTCATTAATTTTTTTAAGGTATAAAAAATTAATATTATTCATTGAAACTATCAGGTTACTTTATAGATATATTTATGAGGATTTTTTTTTTTATTAAACAATAATATAACTTAATAAATAGCCGAGATATTAGCTGATACACAACGTAGTATTACTTTTAGTATAATTACTTTTTCTGTGGCATTGATTTCAGATAAAAATTGTGGCTTCCATAGTGCACACCAACTGCTAATTCGGAAGACAACCTACGGTGTGCATCAGCTAATACCTCCGCTACTTTTTAAGTTATATTGTCGTAAAATATGGAAAAATATAAATGTATAAAATAACCTGATAGTTTCAATAAATAACATTTGTTTTCATACTTAAAAAAAAATTAATAAAAAACCAGCATTAAAACGTCCTTCTACACGTATTTCTTCCCTTAAACTATCTCGATGGCTTTTATGTTTCAATGTTACTTGTTATTTTTTTATTTTATTATACTGAGAAGAAATGTGAGGGCACGTGTATATAAACGGCGTATTAAACTGCTGTATGCGGGATTAACTTTTAACTTTAGCAGTTAAAAATTTATCGCTGAGATTTTAATCATTTTGTTTATTTATTTTTTTTTTTTTGTACCACGACAGTTAGTCTTTAAAGCTTTTCTTTGGTTACTGACAGTGAAAACATTTATATTAAATAATAAATCTTCCGCAATTTATTTCTTCTTTAATTAAATTTAAAATAAATTAATGACGATGAAGATGAAGATGACTTTTAAAATAAATTTTTTAAAGATGATAATGATTATTATTAATTAAGGCGAAAATACTGTGAACACAACGATATATTGCATTATTTATATATGTAATATATAAATTTATGTATGTTTGTATGTATGAGTATCGTGTACATAAAGATTAAGTTTCGTGCGAATCCATAATTATCATCCTCGTCGTTTGTCGTCGATAAAATTAATTATTGCAAATAAGGATCCGGCGAGTTAAATTACTGGACGGCAAACCTGCACGAAACTATAAATCCAGAGCTATAATACTAAACCGTTGTCTCCCGGTCGACGTGAATATATTCCACGAAACCGGGAGACTGCTGTCAAGAACCCAATAGAGACTCTTCAGTTGGCGCTTTCCTAGGAACTGCACCAGATCTTTTTACTTCGTCGTCGTAGCATAGCTTCTTAGCACGAGCCTTTGATCTAAAAATAAATTAATAAATTATTATAATTTTAATTTCTGCATTAATTAATTTTTTTTACTTAATTTTTTTTTTAATGCTTTAATTCAGAGTTATTCTGAATTATTTAATTTGAATTTAAACATTAAAATGTGTAAGTATTTGTATTATAAAAAGTCCATTTATACTCTGAAAGTAAATGCAACACTTGGAAAAATTTATTATAATAGTTTAACTTAAATTTTTATTTAATTCTACATTTTTTACTTTTATATAATGTTTTTATTTCATGTTTTTATTTAGAATAGTGACTATTAATGCTGGGATTTTTTTTTTTTTTTTTTTTAACGCAATTTAAATACCCTTTGAATGAGTTGAAACTTTTTATTGTTATCGGAAAAATGCATCCATATATAATTTATGCATACACTCGCATAAATATCAAACGCAATATGGGTTACTTTTCGTTTTTTTGAAGAGAATTTAATTCTCTATCCATTCATATATGCGCTGTTATTTTTATTATTATTTTAGTTAATAACTTGGCAATCCAGATTATTTATTAATTAACAAATGTGATATTTTATCCTCTGCTATGAAATGAAATCTTTTATTATAAATTACAAACGAATAAAAAATATTAAATTTCATTTTATGAGTTTTAATAAACAATTTTTTTTAATTAACAAAATTAAATTTGACCATCTTATCAAAAATAATATATAGATATTAATTAATAAAAAAAATTTGAAAATTAACTGGATTGTCAAATTATTTAAGAAAAATTTTTTCAGCGAGATATATTTTACAATTTGATAAATAACTAGCAACCTTACAGTTACTATATGATTGCCGTGACTTATGAACTATAAAAAATAAAAATTTTGCTTTGTTAAATTGCACTGTACTTTCTTAAATATTGACATTTTTAAAAATATAAGCTCATCCCGATGTTACACTCATCAAGAGCTTTCATTTGAGTACCCACATGCTGCATTTTTATATATTTTTCATACATACAAATATATATAAAATATATAAAAAATTGATGTGGGTACTCGAATGAAAGGTCTTGATAAGTGTAACATCAGGATGAGCTTATATCTTTAAAAATGTTAATAGTTCACAAGATTCAATGTCGTTTCTTCATTACGTTAAATTTTGCACTGTACTTTCTTAAATATCGACATTTTTAAAGATATAAGCTCATCCCGATGTTACACTCATCAAGAGCTTTCATTTGAGTACCCACATGCATTTTCATATATTTTTCATATATACATATATATGAAATATATGAAAAATTGATGTGGGTACTCAAATGAAAGGTCTTGATGAGTGTAATCTCGGAGTGAGCTTATGTATTTAAAAATATCATATTATCCTGGACACAAAATTTTTTTTATTTTCTTAATAATATGGATAATTATTATTATTATGCACTAAAAAAATTCCTTTAAAAAAAAATTACCATTATTGTAACAAGAAATTAATTTATTGACAATTTTTTTTTTTTTAGCTGAAGAAATAAAACTAAAATTATTAAAAATTTTGCACAAATTAATTTCTAATTAAATTGCTCATTTTTTTTTTTTTAAATAAATGTTTTCTCTTAGAATAATTGACACAAAATGTTCTAAAATAAAATAAAAAATTACAACAATAAAAAAAGTGAATTATTTCCTTACTTGCACAGAAGTATTGTGAGAAGACATGCAAAGGCAGTAACTATTCCGGAAATAACAGCGACGATTAGCCACATACCGGGCGGAAGTAGTCCTAATAACCGAGCCCCACTTCCACAATTAGCCTCGTCGTGGCCCGAGGGGCAGTGAATGTGTCCATCACACCACAAACTGGAAGCAATGCAGGCCCCGAGCTCAGGACAAGTGTGAAGACAATCAGCAGTGCTGGTGTCATTTTCAGTGGTCCTTCCTGGAAGACGTAGTTGCCTGTGCAAGGCCGAGCGGCTCTTGGAGATCTCCAGCCAAGAAGCCGAAGCCTGTCCAGGTTCTCTGGAGACAAACTCAACCAGCAGCGACGCCGGGCGCGCCGGGGAAAGCCAGTGTTCGTCGGAGTTTCCAGCAGCCAGCAGCCATTCTTCAGAAAATATATGAACGGTGTGATCCCTAGCTCCAGGCTCAGCAGGACACACAACCTTGAGGAGCTTAGTTGGCCACCCCGAGTACAGAAGTAATCTGTTTGATGTGGGACACTTGACAAATGGTTTTGGGGGATCTTGAGATGTCTGGTGATGTGAGCTGCTTGCTGATGCCGATGATGCTGCAGTTACTGAAGAGGGAGAGAGAGAAGATGATTCTGTGGCTTGCTCAAGGGGCAGGAACCATCCCCACGTCAATACAAATAATGATCGGCTTTCTCTCGCCTCGACAAGCCACGGCATCCCCTCGCAGTAAATATCCGGTATGGAAACTGGTGGGGTCACGAATCTCAGCTCTCCACCTGCGCCGAATAAATTAATAGTCGATAAGTTTACATAATTAAGGACTTGTCTGATTGATTGATTATAATACCATGCTAGCTAAGTGGATAAGCCTTATACTACCTGCACCACTTAAACTACATTAATATGTCATATATTTATTAAAAGTTTGGATTTAGAGAACACTAATATACTTCGACGTTCTTATACTTGTTCTACCCTACTTAGCTACTTAGATTATAAGCTCTATTTTCAAGACTAGTTTTCTGATACTAGATAAATGATAAATTTTTTTTTTTAAAGTAATTTATAGAAGAAATTTTTAGACTCTTTTAATCTTGAGTGAGAAGAAATATTTTATAAGTTATTATGGAATAAATTTTTTTTTTTTTTTTTTTACTTGTTGATTTATTTTCTGTGAGATCAAAAAGAATTTTTTGTCAAAAAGATAATCCAGTTTGTAGAATTACAGCTTGCTAAAAGTCGATATCATTAATGTTAAAGGTATTTACTGAAACTGTAAAATTCTAACTAGAGATTTACATTTATTTTACTTTAATAAAATACACTGGAATAAAAATTTTTCTCTATAAATTATAAATTTATTTTTTTTTATAAAATAGATTAATTTAAAATATAATCTAGTATGTAAAATTAAAAATTGTAAACTGGTGAAATATTAATTTTTAGAATAGTTGATAAAAAAATTGTTTTGAATTCTAGCTCTCTAAAAGTTAATATAATCAATAAGAGATATATTTAGTGAAACTATAAAACTGTAAAACTATAAAAAATTTTTAAGGGCCGGTTTTTCAATCCATCAGTTTTTATCCAGGATAAAATTATTATTGCCAGTATATTTATATATATGAAATATATAAATATATTTTATCATTGGATAAAATTTTATCCTGAATTGAAAAACTGGCTCTAAATACAATGAAAAAAAATTTTTTTTTACAATTATAATTTTATTTTTTATATAAGATAGATTGCTAATTAAAGATATAATCCAGTTTGTAAAATAAAAAAATTGTAAACTGGTAGAATATTAATTTTTGATAAAATTGAGTCTTTAATAATGGATTAATTTTCCAAAAAAAAATCTAGAATAGCTGATAAAAATTCTGTTTTGAATTCCAGCTCACTAGAAATTGATATAATTAATAGAGATATATTTATTAAAGCTATAGAATCCTAATTAATATACTAGAAACTTGCATTTATACGACCTTAACTATAATAATTCTCTGAAATAAAATTTTGAAATTCAACTAAGAAAAATTCTTCTCTACAATTACAATTTTATTTTTTATATAAAATAGATTAATAATTAAAAATATAATCCCGTTTGTAAAATAAAAAATTGTGGATAAAAATAAAAATTGAAGATTTAATTTTCAAAAGAAAAAAATTTAGAATAGTTGATAAAAATTCTATTTTGAATTCCAGCTCACTAAAAGTTGATAATCACAAATATCACAGATATTTACTGAAAGTCCAAAACCGTAACTAATAACTAATAACTAATACAGTAGACACTCGGACTGATCCCACCCTACATAGATATATCAGCTAGATAGAGAGATATTACACCGAGATTTAAAGTATAAGTGGTTTATCAGTAAGTACCTTGTTCAGAGAGTATCGACAGTTTTGCTAGTAATCTATCTACATATAATAGAACATCTACTCGGTATTATTTTCAATTTAAAAGTTTGCGGACAAAAAATAAAAAAAAATAGGCGGTAGTAAGAGCTAAACAGCAACAACAACAATAACAATAAATCAGCTTATAAGAGTAGTTTTCTCACCTTCTCCACGGAGACGATGCTTTCTGGGGCAGTCGGGCACGCGAATGAGCTCAAAACTAGCATAGAAGAAAAGAGTTTCAAAGTCTTCGTAAGGCGCTTGTTCATCCACCAAAAATGTCAACTCGAGCGCTTTTCCAACCGATATGTAAGTGAGAGGCAAGTGAGAAGTATTGTCGCAGAGACATGCCCGGGGTAGCTTGACATCGCGCCATGGCGCTTCGTATAATGTAAGTTTAGCTTCCCGGGTATCGATGTCGGGAAGACATTTCGGTCGACCCGAGTGAATATCCAATTCGCTTATGCAATTTGTCGCGTCACCAACACTTACGTTGTGGATTGTCAGTCTTATTCGTTCGCCTACGCCCGCTTCAATGCGATACGAGCATTCCAATTTCGATTTTCCTCCTCGCCCGTACAGCCTTACGTCCCTCGGTGACATTACTTCACCACTTTTGACTTTTCGCCAGACACGGCTGCAAGGTCCTTCACCCCAGGCTTCACCACCCTGGAGAGTCGAAATGAATTCGTAACGAGCCTGAAAATAATTCATTATGTTACTACGGTATACTTGTACATACATCACTGTAACATTACTTTTTAAATCTCTTTCTTCATTAATTATTTCATTTTTTAGCCAGGATACGCTCAACTAGTATGTATTTAGTGGCGAGATATTTTATCTCATTCCATTCTCACTTTCATAATTTTTTATTTATTATTCAACAACTTTTGCGTTTTATTGTTGAAAAGTTATGCGCATATTTGTGAAGTAATTTTGGAAAGTTTTTTTTCAAGTCAACGAGAAAGTTTTAGTCTATAATTTTAATAGTATTTCTTTTTTCTAGCAATTACTATGAATTTTTAAATAATTTAAGGCTAAAATTTTTTATAAAAATTAATATTTTTTTTTTTTTTCTAATTAATCTATATAATTAAGCGTATAAGAAAAATTTTGTTTCAAAAAAATATTCATATGATAAAATCTGTTTTTTTAGTGAAATTCAGTGTCATTTCAATAAGCTTGTATCTTTAAAAACGTCAATATTTAAGAAAGTACAGTGCAATTTAACATAATTAAGAAATGACCTTTTATCTTGTAAAATATTAACATTTTCAAAGATATAAGCTCATCCTGATGTTACACTCATCAAGAGCTTTTATTTGAGTACCCACATCAATTTTTCGTATATTTCATATATATTATATATTATATCATATGAAAAATATATATCAAAGTGCATGTGGGTACTCAAATGAAAGATTTTGATGAGTGTAAGATCGGGATGAGCTTATATCTTTACAAACGTCAACAGTTAAGAAAGTACAGGGCATTTTAACAAATATTTTGTAAACTAATGACATTTTTAAAGATATAAGCTCATCCCGACCTTACACTCATCGAGACCTTTCATTTGAGTACCCACATCAATTTTTCATATATTTATATATATGAATATATGAAAAATATATCAAAACGCATGTGGGTACTCAAATGAAAGCTCTTGATGAGTGTAACATCGGGATGAGTTTATATCTTTAAAAATGTCAATATTTAAGAAAGTACAGTACAATTCAACCAAATTCATTATTTAACAGAGCAAAATTTTAATTTTTTATAGTTCACAACTCACGGCTGTCGCATAGTGACTGCAAGGTTGCTATAGTAATTATAAAAAATAATTTTTTTTTTCTTTTCTCTCACTAATTTTTCTAAAATAATGAGCAATATTTTCTTAATTACTAACTTTTTAACAAAATTAATTCAATCATCAAAAAAGTTTCTCACTCAAAACCCTTCAAACAATTGAATTAACAATCAACCAACCATAAATACATACTACTTGAAGCTCATCCTCAAAATTTCAAAATTAAATAATTCCAACAAAGTTATAATTAAAAGTAATGCATTAGCATTTAATAACAGTAATTAATTCACAAGTAAACAGATGTTGAGTTAATTATTTACCTGAAAATTAACAGTACGTAGAGCGGTCCCGTAGTGGGCTTCCATCCTCAATGTAAGCGTGGGTGTAATAGTAATATAACTTTCCAGCAGTGTACAGGGTCGAGTGCTTCTAGTGGAGTTTCTCAAAGCAGCATGGGCGCATAATCGCGGCGTATCATCACAAAGGGAAGCTATAGAAACACCAGTAGTGGGTGGTCCATCCCAGAGGGTCATTTTAATAGCGCACTGATTATTATTACTATTACTCCTATCATACCTATTTTCTTTCCTAAAAGAGCTTGCATTATTATCCGACCCACCGGTCAAATCTCTTTGGGTAAACGACGAAAAATAAAACCAAATTTTATCACCAACCGACCCTTTGATATTCCAGGTGCAGACGGAGCCCAGAGGAAGAGTGTGCTGTGGCGCACGTAGAATCCCACTGCGTTTACTGGTGTCGTTTACGAAGAAGTGACAGCCTTGCTCGCCCCGGGCGTAATCTAGCCCGTCCGAGTCGACATAAACCACAGGGACTTGCAGCTCGACTCGCAGAGGTGAAGATCCCAGGGGAATAGCAAGAGGCGAGCTGCGGAACTCAATGAGCATCGCGGGTCCTCTGGCTGTAATTCTCGGCAGAGGTCCCCCGCAATAGACCAGAAGAATTGGATCTTCAAGCCTCGGCCCGTCTCGGAACACTAGACGGTCTTTTTCTGGTGGACAATCCTGCCAGACGCTCAATTTGCTCGTGTAATTATTATTAATATTATTATGAGCTAGCGAATGATTCCCATTGTTGTGGAGATCTATTGAAGAAGATGAAGAATTATTGTAAAGGGTATTGTTAAAAGAAGAAGATGAACTCGGCAATCCTCGGTGAAGAATAGAAGCTCCACTATTGATAGCATTAATTCCACTAGCAGCTTTAATAGAAATCATTGCGTGCTTGCAAGTCGGCACGAATTTTTGCCTGACAGTAATTAAGCAGCTTGCGTTCCTAGGATACTCTCCAGGATAATTAGGACTCTGGACCCGGCATTGCTTCTTGTGGCACTCATAAAAATTGCGTGAGCAGTAAGTACCAGGTACTGCTGACCCTCGCTCAATGGTAAGTCCAGGCTCTCCCAGCCTTGCAACAGCTTCATTGCGAGAAATGAAGCGATAGCGTAGCCGGAATTCAAATGGAACTGCCGAGGGTGCGTGGAACAGTCTGATTGATGCAGTGACCGTGCTAGTCTCGCTGTAATAGGAAGCCCTTCCTTCACCCGGACCGCACCACGATCCGCCGGTGAAGGGTTTCCCGAGCTCAGCCAACTGGAGAGACCCCTCCGGGCAGCTTGAGTAGAACGGCTCGTTAGAGTCCCCGTTAACTGTTTCCAGACGCCCGATGCTGAAAGCATCCCACAGCAACTGGACAAGTTCTCCGTGACCTGGTCCGCTGGCTGTGAAGGTCAAGTGGCAGAGGAACGGCAGTCGAGCTTCAGTCGGCCGGGGAAGATCTAGCTCGTAGGTACGACCCTCTCGACCATTGTAGGTCCTGTTGCAGGGCGTGCAGAGTGCTGGCTCGTCGCTACCGTCTCCGCAGTCGTCTCTCCCGTTGCAGTAGGCGTCCAAGGGGACACATCGCCCGTCACGGCAGGTCAATTCTGCCAGGTCACAATGTCCTGTAACTGCTGGTAGTCTTGATGTCAGGCCCAGCAGTAATAGTGCGCAACTCCATCTTGCTGCCAGCTTGCTGGAATTATTCACTTGGTTGATTAATTTTTTTTTTTTTACCTTCAGAGGTGAAGCTAAGGAGAGAAACGTTTTTTCACAGTTAGCCGTCATTTCCCCTCTGTACTACCTATTACTGTTGAACCTTGGTAGTATCGGTTCTCTGTTGAAATCCAAGGTGATGATGATGATGATGATGATGATGATGATAATCTACCGGCTAATCTTGTCACATTATAACGCTTCATGTGATTATTTAAGTAACGATTTATTTTACCTGAGTTTATTTTGCTTCGAGCTGTCATCTATTTCCAAATTATTTCATTATTATTATTATTATTTGCTTCTTTTTTTGTTAGGTTGTAACTTTATGTGCATTCTGATGATAAGAGACAAAATAATATTTTTTCATTTTAAAATAATTTTTTATGTAAAAATGTTATATCTTAATATTTAATTTTCTCACACACTCTGTAACACTTTATGTAACTTTTGGCTGTTAAGGGACGTTGTTCTATAGTCAGTTAATAAATTATATTACATTATTATTTTTATATTTTATAATACTAAAGTTAGCCGACGTTTTTAATTTTTTTTTAATAATTAAATTAGAACAAAAAAATATTTTTTAAAAAATGCACTTTCAATTTTTCAAGTTTTTTACAAGTGAATTTTTTTATAATTTCTTAAATAAAAAAAAATTTTTAGATGTCGACTAACTTAATTTTCATTATTTTATAATACTAAAGTTAGCCGACGTTTTTAATTTTTTTTCAATATATAAATTATAACAAAAAAATATTTTTTAAAAATTGCACTTTTATTTTTTTAATAAATTTTTTTAAGAAAAAAAAAATTTTTTTTAGATATCGGCTAACTTAATTTAAATTTTTATTTTTTTATCTAAAAAAAATAAAAATTATAATTATAGTTATTAAAAAATGTATCTCTATTCATTGATTATACACACGTGTAAAAAAATAGCACACACACGGACACGTGGGACCCTTTGAGATATCAGAACCGCAATTGTGTCAAGTTTTTGAATAAAAAATAAACGCATGAGCAGTAGAACTTATTCAGGAACAATAAATAATGCCAGAGGAACAACACCAGATAAAATAATAATGGTAATAAAAGTTTAAGTTATAACAACAGTAGCAAGGCACACAATATTAATATCGGGTATTGACCAAGCCCGTCATAACTCCTCGACTTGCTCGACATCGTGTCTAGGTATTTATACTTTTAATTATGTATTTATATTACGCGTGTTTTAACACTTTAAATCATGTAGATTTTTTGGATAATTAAAATCAGGCGAGTTTCTCATCACAGATGATGTTTAACCATGTAAAGGTGTCTGAAACACCAGTCCAAATGTTTGTTACTTTGGTGAGTCGTCGAGCCAGCCCTTATCAGCATCATCTCGGAGACTCGCGAATTACAAGGACTGGAGCACGCTTGACGCAGCATCCGTAACTTCTTTAATAATACCCGGGGCGAGACTAACGCCGTCATCTCCTCGCTTCTGCTCGTAGACTCGCAACCCCTACCCTCGTAATGGTTATTCTCTTACTCTCTTGGTTGGTGCTGTCTTTGTCGTACTTTTCCACCCTTGCGCGAACGCAGAGCTCGGGCGAATACAGGAGTAGGGTAGACCGGTATAGGTATGCTGAGTAACTGAGTACTGAACCAGCTTGACCGCCGGCTGAATGAGAAACCTCCCTGGCACTCGTGTTCCCGCGATGCCACCTACCCTTCATGCAGATTTGTGCAAATTTGTTTGCGCCCCTCAACTTGCTTGCTCCCAAGTGTGGGTGTACATGTGAATAGGCGTCCCGAAAAGCGGATAAGCTTCTTCGTCTGCTGAATTTTTGCTTTTGCTTTTAGCTTTTACCGCATACATTTTATTTGCCGGGTATAGAAGTGGATCTATAATAAATGGAGCTGGAAAAAAATATAAGAGGACACATAAATATAAATATACCTACTGTGCAACATATTGTACTCTCGAGTGCATTAGGAGTGATGCACGCTGGACAAATTGTAATGGCACTGAAGTTAGCAGACGTCTAAAAATTTTTGATTTTTTTCTATTGATTAAATTACAACTAAAAAGATATTTCTAAAAAAATGCACTTATAGTTTTTCAAGTTTTTGACAAGTGCAATTTTTTTTTTTTATTGTTTAATGGAAATTTTTTCAATAAAAAATTATGAAAAGTTAGCCGATATCTTAAAAATTTTTAGAATTTTTTTTTTACTAAAAAAATGATGACAAAAAAATAAAAAAAAAATTTCATTTGAAAAAAACTTGAAAAATAACACGTGAAATTAAAAAAAAAAATATTTTTTAGTTCTAATTTAATAATTAAAAAAAAATTAAACTTTAGTATTATTAAAAAATTTATAAAAATTTTGAAATGTTGGCTAACTTTATTTTCATTTTTTTTATTAATTTAATTACAACTAAAAAGATATTTCTAAAAAAATGCACTTATAGTTTTCCAAGTTTTTTACATGTGCAATTTTTTTTAATCGTCAAATTGAAATTTTTTCAATAAAAAATTTCTAAATGTCCGCTAACTTGATTTTCATAAATTGTAACCATTATTTTTTGCCTCGCTTCCTTTTTTTTTCACTGCGACATCACTTGGTAATAACGAGGACGCAGATAGTTGCGCCAAAAACCCAACCACGAGGCATCAAGCTGCTACTAGTTACGATAGAATCGATCGCTCGTCTACCTACTTCACATACACACGTTACTTAGTCATATACATATCAACACACATGCATACATTCCTTACTTTTGATGATGGAATTTCACATACGTAACATCACATCTCTCTCAGTCTCAGTGGCCATAACAGTGTCTCTCTTTAAATCAAGATACTCGTTTTCTCTTGTATGTAGCTTTTTGAGACCTCGTATTTTTCAGTCATTCCTTTTATTTATTATTTGTCTTCTTTTATCTCTCATGCGTTTTGTTTGCTCTAAGGAATGAGGTCAAGGAACTGCTGGGTTATTTTTCTCTGAAAATAATAAGAAAAATTTTTAAGTAAGATCTTATTGTTTTTATTCACCCATTACAAGTCATCATAATAAATATTTTAAATCTAAAAAGATTATTTTATACAACTTTATTTTATTCTTAATTAATTTGATAAAAATGAGTTGAGTGAATCTTTCAAATTTATTATTATAATAATAATAAAAAATTATGAAATATTAAATCATTTAATTTAGATATTTACAAAAAATTAAATATGACAAGTCATATTTATTAGGTACGTTGAAACTTTTGTTTTGTTTTTTTTATTAAATATCCTTGGAGGCAGATAATAAAATTTTAAGCAAAGTACATGGAAAGAACAAGATGACACTGGATATCATCCAAGATTATATTAAGTGAAAAAAATTTCAGATAGTAGCTAGAGTAATCCAGATTATAATTATAATCCAAATATCACCCAGTATAATCTGGATTTTTGAAACTTAAAAAAATTTGAAGCGACCTTTTAAAAAATTTTTTTTGAGCTGTTCTTTGAAGAGGGCTCTTAAAACATCAAAAACTGACATTTTTTCACTCTAGACTAAAAAAAAAAAGTCGGTTTTATGCGCCACCCTAATATCCAGTATCATCTTGTTTTTTCCGTGTATAAAATGAAAGTAAAAAAATCAACGTGAAGATTGTGATGATAATTAAACAAAACGGATTAAAATGCGTAACGTGTACGAATGTCTTCTAATTTTTTAGATACTTCAGAGGCTGTTCTTTCTAAATCACCGGCGATGCCTTTTTGCTTAGCAGGTTCTATTGAATTAAATTGCTCGCAAAGGTCACCATCTATGACATTTTTAACAGGATAATAATAAGACCTAAAGGACAAATGGTCACGACCGCAGAGCGGCGGATGCTCAGATCGCATGTGCATTTCTAAATGTTGGAAAAAATCATGATCCTCATGGCTGGTGAACGGTACTAGGACACCGACAGTGCCACTCAGAGTTGTATAAACTAAGCTCTCAGATCCTCCAGGAATGAGAGTGGCCTTTTGTAGTGACATTACTGTTTCACCGACGTGAAAAGAGGCTACAGTGTCGGCCTTTTGACTCGCTCCGTTTAGTAATCCTCTATCCCAGAGAGCTTTGTTCCCAGTCGGATCTTCATCCACATCGTCATTGATGCCACTCGCAAGCCTTACAACCGCAATATTACCGAATTTATCAGCTGTCGCAACAGTGTCATAGTCCAATACGCATGTTGTTGTAATCCACCGTGGGTGTGTGTCATCGGCAAATACGATTAACTGATTCTCTTGACGTTTATATCTTACTGCATAAACTGATTCCTGTACATCACTCACATAAATCCGTTGTCCGACGGCATTAATCGATACTATTGCGTTGGGTATGTGTTTATTTTCACACTTTCTCAGTAATTTCTTCTTTCCCATGTCATACAGTCGCAGCATTTTTCCAACCCCAACTAAAACACGCCCTTGGTATGGACATATCGCCAGGGGAATTTCATCCACCGGTGATTTATGAAGCAGCTCTATGCCCGTACCGTCTGCGTTTACTCTGGAAAACAAAAACAAACATTTTAATTAATCTGTGAAGTAGATATTTTTTTTTTTTTTTTTTTTTAATAAAACTCAGTACTGCAGGGATATCATCAAAAATATACAGTTAATGTGATATTGTCATCATTGTAATTATTAAATAAATTATCTAAGGTAAAAGACCCAGTTATTGACACTGGCCTAGTTGATTGACACTTGCAATTTTATTCTAATTAAAAAAATAAAATATTCTTAAAAAATCAATTATATTATATATATATATTGTATATAAATATATATGTATATATGAAAAATATATTAAAAATGCATGTGGGTACTCAAATGAAAGCCCTTGATGAGTGTAACATTGGGATGAGCTTATATCTTAAAAAACGTCAATAGTAAAAAAATTACTGTGCAATTCAACAAAAGTCATTATTTAATGAAGAAAAATTTTATTCATTTATAATTCGCAAGTCACGGTAGTCACATAGTGACTGCAAGGTTGCTAGTATTTATTAATTTATTAGAATAGATTTGTTTTATCTAATTAAAATAAAAAAGTGTCAATAACTGGGTCTTTTACCTCACTTTGTAATTAAATATAATATAATAAAATAAAATATAAAACTTACTTGTATGTATATAAGAATCCACCACTGCTAATTCTTGGATTAAGTTGATAGTCTTTGGCAACACCGACAATGAGGAAAAGTTGATCTCCCTGATTTGCAAACTTAACGAGTGCCAAACAGAGAGCAGCGTAATCCTGTTCGAGCCGATGAGTTTGGAAAACCTGACCCGTGGTGGGCACCATTATTTTAATGAGAGAAGCCCAGAGCCCTGGCCCGGCTCTCGGAGCTCCGAAAACAGCTTCATTAGGCTCCTCGGATAGAAACGCCTCAGCGAGCTCACGTGCTACTGTTGCTTCTTCTGCACCAGCGGCTTCCTGCATCTCTTCAGCCATTTGTAGTCGCCTCTGTTGTTTCGTATCCTCTGTGTACGCATTGTGTTCAGTCTCAATAATGATAAGATTAGCCGAGTCAGGATGGATCACAAACTTCCTCGGTGTGTACTCAAGCGGAAAGCTCACTTGATTAAATACAGCGCCTAATTTCTCGAGCGCCAAAATTCTCAAGGTATTTGTAGATATAGCAACAATACCCTCGGGACACTGTTCAGAGCTGAATCCGGAAGCAAATTCTAAGCTTTCATAAGACAGTGGAGTCAAATGGAATCGATTTTGATAGTAATAACTCAGCCATGATCTGCTGCTCATTGCAAGAACCGCTTGGCTTCCCTGCATTTTTATTCTAAAGAGTTTTACCGGTCGTGATCCTAAATATCTAGTCCGTGTGTCTGCAAGATCTCCAGATATTGGATCCAGTACTGTTCTGAGTAAAACTCCATTTTGTAGTCCAATATTTAAATATAAACTCGTCTGATTTTGAATGACAGTGTCGTCAGAATTGTCAACGTCTTTAGAAGCGCCCATTTCGACAATACAAAGACTCTCGGCTGCAGCAGGAAGAGCTTGCATACTTCTCGGTGCTAAACAATCTGATGGATCCAAGGAAATTATTCTGACGGTATTGTCTTGTAAACCTACCGCCAGAAACCAAGATCTTTGTTCTCCAGCCGCGACATTTCCCAGAGCCATGCACATCACTTCTGACGGCATCTTCTTTCTCTCCGTGTATTCGTTCAATTGACCCGTCTATAATTAAAATTTATTCTGTCAATAAATTGATTCTTTTGATTATAAATAATTATTTAAATTTGAATTTTTTTGTTCACTGAAAATTTATAACCAGGAAACAAAAGTTTCCTGATTTAAATTCAATTGTTTAGTGAAGTGCTTTTCGCATTTTATACATCTCGGAGCTTACAAAAAACCCAAAGAGAACAATAATGCGGTATTTTTTTTTTTATTCTTATTATAATAATAATAGAAGCTATTTTTACCGGATCCATCTCAAAGTAGACCAATTCCCCTCCTGTGAGAGCAATGACGACTTGACGTTGGTTTACTGCGCATTTGACAATTGTTTTTTTACCCGGAGCTTTCCATTCATTGACACGTTTATCGGCACGTATATGGCGAATACCGTCGGGATATACCTGAGGCAAAAAAAAGTTTATGAATAAAATGAATGAATTGGTATTTTAATATTTAATAAGTCAGAGTAATTAATTTATATTATTAAAGAGAATAAGATAAATTTTGTGTTTAGGATGGACATATCATAAAATTGGATTTTTTAGTGAAATTTAGTGTCATTGTTAAGTATTTAGGCTAAATTAAAAAATGCTCTATTTCTAGATACATAATTAAGAAATGACCTTGTATCTCGTGAACTATTGACATTTTTAAAGATATAAGCTCACTCCGACATTACACTGATCAAGTTTTTACACATCAATTTTTCATATATTTATATATATTATACATATATGCATATATGAAAAATATATCAAAAATGCATGTATGGGTACTCAAATGAAAGCTCTTGATTAGTGTAACATCGCGGTGAGCTTATATGTTTAAAAACGTCAATATTCAAGAAAGTACAGAGCAATGTAACAAAATTCATTATTTAATAAAGCAAAATTTTATTTAATTATAGTTAACAAGTCCCAGCAGTCACATAGTGACTGCAAAGTTTCTAGTTAAAATAAAATAAATTAAAAAATGCGTGTACGGGTCGAGTTACCAGGAGTAATGCAATTTAAATAGCAATCCTCCAACGATGCGATAATCCGTGATATAATTTAGCACCTAAAAGCGACCGTCACGTGGTTAACCAGGTGCCGGAGATACCGCAGTGCATTAATTTTACTTGGTAATTAATGTGTCACTCACTTGTACAAGAGCATCCTCCCCCAAAGCAGAACAACTGAGAGTGGGTGTTGTTCCAAGGAAACCAGAGTCCGTTACTTCTTCGACAGTCTCTCCGATACTAAGCACAAGAGTAGCATTGACGAAGGACACTATGATGTACGCATCATATTCTTCTGTAACCGAAATTATATTTTGTGTCTAGATTATAAATGTACTATTTATCATTATTATAATACTAAAGAAGCTGAATAATTGCAGTCCGTGAAATTTTTCGCGACTTAATGTGCAACTCTGCAGTGAAATTTCTCTCTACGGCGAACCGTACCGTATTCCTTGATCGATCTCATAAAATATGATCTTACCTCGTAGAAACTCATGGATTGGGCTGGTCAACCTTTAGCACCCAGGTAGCCTGAAAGAAATAACTGGTGTTTGATAAGAGTGTATCAATCCACCAGATTTATTACTATCTTCTTTTATTTAATTTTTGATCGCGTTATTTGATATCAATTTTTTTTTTTTTTTTTTTTTTTTAAATTATAAATATACGTCTAAATTTACGTATATTTATTTATATGTTATTAAAATTTATAAAAGCGACAAAGAAGATAAGTAAAATTAATCTACACAAACTCAGCAAGCAAACAGTGAAAACTTACCGTCGATTCTTCTTTTTACTGTCCAAACTGCATTGGGATTACCCGGAAGTTCACTCACAGCCATTTCCGAGACCTCAAGACCGTGTCGTAAGACTCGTAAAGTAGATCTTGGACCCCTACCGCAGGCGATGTAAAGCTGTGGAGTGTCTTCGTTTGCCAAATCCGCGACCTTTAGCATTAAATAAACCCTTATAAATAATTTAGTCATAGTAAAATTTTTTTTACATCAAAGTTTTTAATTTAAAACAAAGTAATGTTAATTTTCGAGTTCACTTCGATTTGCAAGCAAAGAAACAAATCAAAGGCGACGAAGATTAATTTTATTTTGCATCAATCACAGAGGGTGGGTCATTAACAAATACCAACCCTCTACTTGTTGATGCTGGAATTTAAATATAAATATAGATGCCATAAGAGCGTATAATAAAAATCCTATTTTTTTTTTCCAAGTCCAAAAAAAATTTTTTTTTGCATTTCTCCACGTTTCATACAAAAATATGATTCCCAAAAAAAAATTTTTTATACACCCTTATGGCTTTTCACCGGGACCTTTTGCCGATATACGCCCTTATAGCATCTCTAACGTGAAATATGAACAGGAATTTTAATAAAAAAATTACCTGGCAAGTCATAATAGGAGACAAACTGTCCATCTCGTCAACCAGAACTAAATTCCTTAGAGGCCGTGGTGCAAAGAAGAAGGTATCTCCCTCTTCTAGGGGCATGGCGGAACTGAACTCTGGCTCGTCGTCGTCATCACCCAAATGAGCGATTTGGTACAAATAATGATTGCCAAACTCCGAAGCGACGAAGAGAAAACCAGTCTTGAGTACACACATGCTCGTTGCTACGGGAACTGTGTCAAAGTACTTGAGTTTTATCTCAGTAACCATGTCTTCATCAACTTCAAGCGTTATCTTGAAAATATCTCCTTGCTCGGTTTGCGCGAGAAAGAAGAACATATTTTTAGTTTTATGTGTCGCAGAACAGACAAAAATCATCCCCCGCTCAGGATCGTCCAAGTCATTCCGCCGCCGAGGGATCGGACAACGAATGTCAGGCTGATCCCCGAGATTCTTGTAAGTCAGATAATTTTCTGAGCAAATGAGGACTCCGCTGGGACCGTCGTTTCCTCCGGGTACGGAGATAAGGAAGTTTGCGTGCTCTTCTAATGGCTCGCTGTACTTCCTCACGACGTGATTCAGACCAAGATCGAGCTCGTAGAGGGTCAAAGTTTGCTGAGTTTTCACAGCGGCTTCACCCGTTGGGTCGCTATCTGCTTCTTCGTAGTCAATCTCCAGACACGCGAACATCGGGTTCTCGAACCCGACGTCCACTCCAACGGTGTGGTAAACTAGAGTATTGCTCTTGTGGGCTTCCAAAGGCGAGGATATCGTCAGACGGGCTTCGGGGTCTCTGTTTAAAATGTAGACGAGCTTCTGCTTCTCGATTGCAGCTGGAAATTTAATTTCTTGTTAAAAATTGTATGGTAGGTAAAGATAATTTTTCAATTGGGGAATTTTAAGTCAGAATCTGAGGTTTATAATCAAAATGATTCAGGTGAAACACGGACAGATAAAAACATCATTCGTAATTTATAATTTTAATAAAATTTAACGTCTGATAATTTTTAGAAACTCTAAAAAATTATAAATGCAATTTTTTTAATAATGTTTTAGGCCTAATTTGTTATTTAAAAAAAATAAAAAAATTGACAAGTGCTAATTTAAATTTCATAATTTTATAATATGAAAATTAGCTAAAGTTTATAATTATTCATTTTTTTTTTTAATTAATTAAATTAGAACAAAAAAATATTTTTTAAAAATTGCACTTAGTTTTTCAAGTTTTTTAGAAATGAAATTTTATTATTATTTTTGTAATAATTTTTTCAATAAAAAAAATTATAAAAATTTTCAGATGTCGACTAACTTAATTTTTAAAAAATAAAATAAATTAATCTTACCAATCATTACAGCACGTCCTTTAGGATCGATGGCCAAGTATTGACCTGGTACAATTCTTCTGCAGCCACTCTTGCCAAAAGTCTCTTGATGAACCTTCTCAAAGACATTTTTTGCAGGCAAATACTCAAGAATTACTATTCTTCCCGAGTCTGAGCCAACAACAATGTAGTCTTTAGTACCTCCAGTTAGCCTGAAGGCCATAAGAGACCTTATTATTCCGAAAACTTCAACAGCCAGCAGCGTGTGGACTTTACCGGTGTTTGGGTCCGGCCGCAGAAGCTCCAGCGACTTCCCGCGGGAAACGAGTATCTCCTGCAGCTTCGTGCCGGAGAAATTCCCGTGGACCGCATGAGTGATGCCGGTGGCTCTTTGCAGAGTCAAGTTGTATAAATACATCTTGACTGGTTGGAGATCTTAGGAATGTGCTTATTCCCACGCACTTGTATCAAACCAATATGGCGGCCTATAAATAAAATTAATTATATTAAATTTAGGGTAATTGAAGCCATGCTAATTTTTTACTTCAATATTTTATAATAAAATAACTAATCAATATAAAATTAATGTTGAATTAACCTCTTAAATTTCAGTTAACTAGTTTTTAGTGAAAGTGGTTAAATATGAGATTTAGAGGTAACTAATAATTTTATTAAGTAAATTAAGTAGAAATAAATAATTTAATTACCATGAATGCTAAAGTTGATGTTAAATAACCAACGATGTTGTTGGATTACTTTTAAAAAAACTTTTTCCTCTTAATTATTATAATGTGCTGAGCCGGCGACGATTATTCTTAAAATGAGCGAAAGTGAAACGGGAAACAGAAATGACCGCTAGTACGTTGGTCTTCGCGTCCCGGAAATTCGTGTCTACTAAAAGGTAATTTGATTTAAGTTGTCACAGAAGCGCTAAAATTTAAATGTCACTTTTTCATAAATTTTTTTAATTTTTTAAATAAAAAACAAGTTATAATTTTTTTAATTAGAAGTAATTTATGAAAAATTAAAATTTTTAAGAAAATTATTATTAAAAAAATTAGCTGTATTTTTTATTTTTTGAATTTTAGTTTTTTTTTTTTAATTTATAAAAAACAATGAAAATTAAGTTAGCCGACATTTCAAAATTTTTAGAAATTTTTTTTTTATTAAAAAAATTTCAATTAAACAATTAAAAAATAATTTTCACATATAAAAACCTTGAAAAACTATAAGTGCAATTTTTTATAAATATCTTTTTAGTTGTAATTTAATTAATGAAAAAAAATTTTTAGACGTCTGCTAACTTTAATATTATTAAAAAGCACTGAAGTTAACTGAAGTAGAAATTCTTTTACTTCGAATAATTTTATAGCAATGAAATTATTATAAAAAAAAATTTAGTAAAAAAATTCCACACATCAAAATATAAAAAATAATTATTGGTAGAAATTTATTAAAGCATTTTTTTAATTTAATTGTAATTTATTTATTATAAAAATTTGTGACATTAAAGTTAGCAGTCAACCATTTTATAATTTTTTTTAACAAATGGATTTTTTTCCAAAAAATTATTTAAAAAAAAATTGCATTATTTATTTTTTAAAATGTCTACATGTCAATTTTTTTTCTACTTCTTTTTTGTCATGATTTGTTAAAAAAATTCTTAAATACCTGCTATAAATTAATTTTCATTAAAAATTTGACAGTTGTCAGCTGACTTCAGTATTGTGTGCATAAAGGCTAGTTTCTATAAAGAAGAAATAAATAGTCAACAAAATAGAACTCTATATTATCAATTGAACAAAAAAAGTAAAACACTTTTCTCTCTCTCCAATAAATAAAATTTTTACTCTCACATAATCACCGGTAGTAAGTAGTTTTTATTATAAATAAATATAAAACGGCTAACGAAATGGAGGTCGGTGATAATAAAATAATATCTGAATTAAGCGACGACAAAAAATCATTTGCTGGAATACCTGAAGCTGCATTTGTGGTAATTATTTATTTATATTCATCAATAAAAGTAACACTAACCCCCAAACCTCACTGAGCTTTCTAAACACTTCTCCTTATAAGGACATCATTAGCTGCCAGTTAATTTACTAAGACAAAAATAATAATTAATATTTATTTATTTATTTTGAAAACCAGGAAGATGTTGACGCTTATATGGCATTGCCGGAGAACAATGGCCAGGTAGACAAAGCACTTAAGAGGCTGGACGAGAGTCACAGCAAGTACAAATTCATGGAGTTCAACTTAGCGAGTAAGAGGCGAAGACTTAGGTCCCAAATTCCGGAGCTCGAGAGAGCGCTGGAGATGATTAAAAAATTGCAGGCTGAGAAGAACAGTAGCCAGAACCTCGAGACGCAATTTTTATTGTCTGAGCAAGTATTTGCTAAGGCTATTGTCCCACCTACTGACAAAGTGTGTCTGTGGCTTGGTGCTAATGTCATGTTGGAGTACACTTTGGACGACGCTCAGGAATTGATGGTTAAAAATATCGAAACTGCGAAGACAAAGTTGGTCCAAGTTGAGCATGATTTAGATTTCATTCGCGATCAATTTACCACCACTGAAGTTAACATGGCCCGAGTTTACAACTGGGACGTGAAGAAGAGACAAGCTGCTAAAACTACCTCGAAATAATTAATTAAAAATTGTATTATTATAAATTTCTATCTAAAAATTTTTATTTTGTCTTTTAAAAGATTTTTGAGTTCTAAAAATTCAAAAGCTTTTATGACGTTAAATTTAGCTGTCACTTTACAATTTTCTTTAACAAATAAATTATGACAAAAAAAAAAATTATTAAAAAAATGCACTTGTAGAAATTTAATAAAATTAAAAATGCAATTTTTTAAAAATAATTTTTTGGAACAAATTTTTTTGTTAAAGAAAAAAAATTGTCTAGTGACAGCTAAATTAAATTTCAAAGTTTTTTTATTAGACGAATTAAAATTTTCAAATAGAAAAATTTTAACTAATTTCACCTTAATTAATTAAAAAAAAAAAAAAAAAACAATCACGCTTTGAAAAACATTATTTTAAGCAATAATAAATTTATTTGAATTTTTAATTACATGTTAATAACATTTTTATTTATAATTTGCCTTACAATTATATAAGTCAGTTCTTTTTTTAATTTACCATATATTATTTGTGTTAATTAATTAAATTAATTGAACACTTAGTCACAGCTCAATAGTTGGATTAATTAATCACTATTGGACAAATAATCACAATAAAATACTGGTAATTTAAATAAGCTAATTTAACATTAATAATAATATAGTCGAAAATTCATATTTTGTAAATATTAAATTTTGAATTATCACCTTTAAGGCACATTTATGAATCTTCTGTGTAAATAGAATATTTCTATGAGAAATTGAGATGTTGATATTTATAATATTGATAATAGTGATGTGTATGAATCGAGTAGGTCAACAGTCTATTCCTCAGCCAAGTCCAGCTTGGCTAATTTGTCTCTCAACTCACGGTTTTCAGCTTCTGCTTCTTGTAATTTTTTCTCCAAAGATTCAGAGTCTTGAACATTACTGGTGGCTCCAACTTCTTCGGTTATCTCAGTCAGTCCTCCAAGATTTTTTCTGATGTACCTACAATGTAAATTTGAAAAATTAATATAAAAATTTCTTCTGAATTTATGACATATATAAATTAGCAGACACTTGACAATTTTTTTTTTTCATAATTAACTATATCTAGAAAATTATTTTTAAAAAAATGCATTTATTTTTTTTTAAGTTTCTAAAGATCAAATTTTTTAAATAAAATTTTTTTGGTGTAATTAATTTGTTAGAAAAATAAAAAAAATTATTAAATAGCTTTCAATTTCAGTAATGACATTAAAATGAGCAATCACTTGACCATTTTTTAATTTTTTTTTTTAACAAACAAATTTGTACCGAAAAATTATTTTTAAAAAATTGAATTTTTAATTTTTTTAATTTTTAAAGTGTTAATTAAAAAAAAAAAATTTTATTACCATGATTTGTTTCAAAATTGATTAATAAATATCAGCTAAATTAATTTTCATAATTCAGTATCACGTTCATAACTGATAAAATACTTACTCAATTGCATTAGCTGGTTTCTCAGGTTCTTCGTAAAGAGCAATTAGTACTTTAGTAAGACCATCAAGGACACCGGAGCGTTCTAAGTACCTCCTGAATTCGTCTCTCTTTGAATCAGTCGGCTGTAAATTTTTTTTATTTTTTTTTATAAATATAAAGTTGTCATTGGTCGTCAAGGCAACATGTCTTTTTTTACATTTTCAAATAATTTGCTTAAAACTAATAAATAAAAAATAATTTACCTTGTAACTGGCCATTTTTAATAATTTTAATCTCTGATTAAATATATATTAAATAAATTTATCAAAAATAGATCGTCCTGATTGATTTTGAGAGTTTATTATTGATGGTCAGTCTTTTAATGATAACTAAACAGAAACGACAGGTGAAGTACGCCACTTAAGTGACACTGTGTCGCATTCTGGTGATTAAATAGACCAACATCAATTTGTACACCGGTATATTTTTATGTTTTCTTTTGTTATTTCGCAGGTTCCCGCGTGAATATTTAACCTGCATACAATTCCTACCTTGTCGTCCTCTTGGTTAGCTAGACGCTTTGTAAACACATGTGTAAAAATTTACTTAACTCATTTTTTAGTCATCAGTTGTTTCGGTTAATTAAAATATTGACAATTTGCTAAAATAACAGCAGACATCATCTAGAATTCTGTGATTAATTGCTGATATTCATTGATGATTATCAATTTGAGCTCTAGCGAACAATGATACATACTTAACAGTTTTTCTATTTAGTTTATTTGGTTTTAAAAAATATTTTAAGTAATTTGTAATTTAATTTTTCAATATGGGAATCACCGGATTGCTGCCGTTTTTAGACAAGTCCTCTAAAAGAGGAAACATCAGTCAATTTTCAGGAGGTACTGTTGCTATTGATACTTATTGCTGGCTTCATAAAGGAGTTTTTACTTGCGCTGAAAAATTGGCCTTGGGAGAACCAACTGACGGGTAAAATAAATCATAATTAAAATTAATAATTATTTTATTATTACAAATGATTAAAATATTTAATATTTAATTTTAGATATGTACAATATTGTCTCAAGTATGTGCAAATGTTACTGGCAAACAGGATCAAGCCAATCTTGGTGTTCGATGGCTGTTATTTACCTGCTAAAGCTGAAACGGAGATAAAACGACGAGAGTAATTATTATTGTTCACTTTTTATTAACAAAAAAAAAAAAAAAAAAATTTATCTTTAAAATTGTATTAATTATTGAGTTATATTAATCAGGTCAAGAGAGACGAATAAGCGAAGAGCAGCAGAGTTGATGAAAATGGGCCGCAATGCTGAAGGAAAAGCTATTCTCCGTAGATCCGTGGATGTAACTCATGAAATGGCTCTGCAAGTAATTAAAAAGTGTCAAGAATTAAACGTTGATTGTATTGTTGCGCCATACGAAGCAGATGCTCAATTAGCTTACTTAAATACATCCGGAATAGCTGATGTTGTTATTACTGAAGACAGTGATTTGACGTTGTTCGGATGTACTAAGGTTTATTTTATTTTTTATCTTAATTTATGATACTGAAATTTCTGGACCTAGTTTATTATTAAAAAAAAAAAAAAAATCAAAAAATTGTCAAGTGTGCCAATTTCATATTAAATGTCAATTTATATCTTGCTGAAAAAAAAATATTTTTTACAAGTGATAAAATAATTTTTTTTTAATGCTAGAATAATTAATTTTATGCTAAAATATTTGCTTAAAAAAAAATAATAAATTTAATTTTAAAAAATAATTCTAGATATTTTTTAAAATGGACATCAATGGCAACGGCGTGTTAGTAGAGCAAGATCGTCTTCACCTAGCAATGAATTTAAGCCCAAGTCAATTTGACCTTGATAAATTCCGCCACATGTGTATTTTATCCGGCTGCGACTACCTTCCATCATTACCAGGAATTGGACTGAACAAAGCCTTTAAATTTATATTAAAAAACACAGACCCAGATATACACAAAGCTCTAGTTCGACTGAGTTCATACTTGAACATGAAATCATTGTGTGTAACTCCGGAGTATCGAGATGGATTTATTCGAGCGCTCGTTACCTTCAAGCACCAATTAGTATTCTGTCCCATCCAGAGAAAACAAGTGAGACTGATTCCTCCGCCACCGGAGGTAACACCAGAGCAATTGCACCACGCAGGAGACGAGAAGCCCGCTGACTTAGCGTTTCAATTAGCCTTGGGTAACTATGATCCGACTTCGATGAAAAAATTATACGACTACAATCCCGATAAAGCGCTCAGTCGGCCAAGGAATTCCTGGCACAAAGGATCCGGGATTCCCAGCTCGAGTATTTGGTCAAAAGATTTTAAAATTTCAGGTTTAAAAAAGACTCCAGTTAAAAATAATAAGTCTAACAACACTAAGTGGCCAAATACTGCTGGGAAAGTAATTACTTCTAATACAGATGCTCTGAAGTTTAAACCGAGTCCTTTAAAACGATCTTTCGAAGACATGGAGACTGATCTTAGCGAAAGTGATATTATTAAAATGTATGGCAGCAATAAAATTCAAAAAAATGAAGCAATAATTGAGACTAAAATTAAAAAAGAAGAAGAAGAAGAAGAAGTAATGGAAGAAATAAAAGAATTAAAAACACCTCCTCCAGCTTCTCCGCAAAATAAACCAAATCCTTTTTTAAAAAAATCACCACAGACATCACCTTGCTTGGTTCGAGGCTCAAGGAGAAGAAAAGTACGGACTTTTGTTGCTGTTGCGCCTACTGTAGTTAACGAAACTTCTCCAGTAGTGAGTAAATATTTTTTTGATGAATCAAAAATGACAAACGAGGAAGTCAAGCCTGCAACAAATTTAATTAATCCAGGAAGCCACATTATTCCAGAAACACAGGATGAAGACTTGCCTGAAGACTTACCACTGTCTCAGCCTGACTCTTATAAAGAAAATAAGATTGTAAATAATGAAAAATTTAGGGAGAGACAAAAACTCAGTAGGTTAGATTCGGGAATAGATATGAAAAATAACAACGATTATTACGTAAATAATGATGTAAAACTTTGCAGCGAAGTCAACCAAGTCAGTGAAGTCACTTCTCCGGCAGAAGAGGATACAGGTAATTATTCATTTTCTGCTGAGGATCGTGAGAAGAATTCAGAGGGAGATCCAGCGACTGACGACGGGATAGATTGTTCTGCTAATACTTCACGGGTTAATAACTTGAGAAGTAGTTTATTTAAGTGGTCCAATCCTAAGATTAATTTAAGTAAAGTTAATTCTTTTGACAGCAGTCCGATAACTGTGAAAAATAGTAAGAAATTACAAAGGACTAAGTCGGCGAAAATATCCTCGGCTAAAAAAAGTCCACCTGCTCAACCCACTCAACAAAATTTATTAAATTCCTACGGATTTAAGAAGAAAAAAGTATTGAAGTCATAAATGCTTCAGTACTTTTTTAAGATTGCAGTATTTTTGCCTTATCTAATTAAGAGATTTGTTATCGTGTTAAGAAATTGTTAACTCAGGAATAATTATCAAGGCAGCACTGCTGTTATACTTTTTCATTTTTATGATTTTTTTTTCTATAATTAATTTGATGTTATTATTAATAATTTTTTCATTGATATTAAAAGACTTTAAGCAATTAATGTAATAAAGGTGATCAAAATAAAGTATTTTTTTTATAATTTTAAATTACAAGATTTCTCTGGTTGAATAAAGATAACAAATAAATTTGTTTTGTTGTATTTTCCACATGTATCTATATTCGAATTTTTCTACTATGCCATAGTTGTATAATACATCGAATTAAATACATATTTACATAAATATAATAGCGTAATTATTATCATCATTTATTTTAATTAAATTTTTCTTTAACATGCCCAACAGAGATTGACTTGATTAAATCTACAATAATTACATACGTAATATAATATAATATAATTATATTATAGAATAATTAATATATTTGATGTGTACATACTCGCATGAGTATTAATGATTAATGATTAATTAACACGGTCGACAGATAATTTGGTACTTGTAAATTACCAGAAAAAAATTAAAATTTTTTTTAGTTACAAGATGACTTACTTTCTTTACTTTCACATTATTAACATAATAATTAACAATCCAAATAATCATTTATTGCGTTTAGAGTAAAACTAATGTGCGTTCATCAAATAAATCAATTTTTTTTCCTTAAAAAAAAAAATTGAATCCCGAAAAAAATTTTTAAGTTATAAAAAAATTCATATTATTATATCAAAATTATCAAAAATAAAAATTATCATAATAATAATCCACAATTTTTTAAAAAAATAAGCACCCACAGAATGATCGCACCATTTTTTGTTACAAAAATTATTATTATTATTATTGTTATTATAATTTTTATTGTAAACTTTATTATTATAATTTTTGAAATTATTATTTCTATTTTATAAAAATTTTAATAAAATAATATAATTTTTTCATAACTTTAAAATTTTTTCCGGGTTATTTTTTCCAAAAAAAATTAATTAAAAAAAACCGCTTATTATCTATAGACGCATGTGGTAGCTAAAATAGTAAATATTATTCCGATGTATATATAACGCAAATAATACTGGCATTTTGCCAAGAAAATACATAATACTACCAATATATTAGTGTATTAACAACAATAATCATAATCACCCACAAAATAAACAGTGGGCCACTATATTATTTAGAACGCACATCAATAATTATATTAATTTATTTATATACTCTTAATTCATTTTTATAATTTTTATTTTAAATAAACTTCTATTGAGTCATTATTATATATCTGACGATCTTACCAGATATTTTGTTCGGCATACATTTTTCAATCCCGTTGAAAGTGTGCATTTTTAGATATTTTTAACAGTTGCGAATAAGGGAATGTTTTTTTTTTTTTTACTTAACTTTTCTTTGTTATTTATTAATATTGGTATTTTTTTTAAAAGATATAATAATTAAAATTTAATCAGTGAACTTGCGGTTTGGATTGCGCCCGAACAAGGCTGACCGTATTTCTGGGACCAATTGCTGGGCAATCAATTCTAACCGTGCCTCCATGGTGTTGACAATCTTGATACGGCCTGAAAAATATTTTTATTAGTACCAAAAACAATTCTACACATGATTATCCTTAAATAAAAATTACCTCTGGCAGCAATCAAGTCAACTCCACCGCAGCTCTCAGCTGGCAAGAAGTTGTCCTGGTCTACTTTAATAACAACCTCCTTCTTGGAGATATTTTTGTAAATTTCTTGGACTTCGTCGATAAATGATTCGACAAGTGAAACGTCCATTTGACGGACACGAAGCGTGACATTTTGTTCCATCAGCTATTTAAAAATTTATTGGTTTATTATTTAGTATGACATTAATTTAAAGTCAGCAGTCACTTCACAATTTTTTTATTTTATTTAACAAAAATTTCTCCAAAAAATAATTTAAAAAAAAATTGCATTTTTAATTTTTTACATCTCAACTAATTTTTTTGCCACTAATTTATTTCTTAAAAAATTGTTAAATATCTGCTACTTCAATTTTCATTTATTTATTCTAAATAAATCAAAAAATAATTTTTATGACATTAAAATTAGCTGTCATTTGACAAATTATTTATTTTATTTAACAATTATATTAATTCTAAAAAATTGCATTTTTAATTTCTTAAAATTTCTACATGTCAATTTTTTTTTTTTGCCATAATTTGTTTGTTAACAAAAGTCTTAAAAATGATAAAATATCTGCTAAATTAATTTTTTATACCGTACCTGGTAAAGAGCCTGGATAATTAGCAGCTTCAAAACTTCAGTATACTTTTGTCGGTCTTGGCCAATTTGGGCCAGTCTTTTTCTAGCTTCGTCAAGGCAATTTCGTACGTGATCCTCTCGTACTTTTAAAACTTTAAGTCTCGCTTGGTTGAGCATGTTAGACGATTGACTAGAAGTGCCAAAGTAATTAAATTAACACGCCCAATAAATAATAATAAAACAAATAATTACATTTTCTTTTGGAGCTCAACTTGTTTTTCCTTCTTCTCGTAGTACTCCATAATCTTAAGCCGCTGTTGCTGGACAAGACGACCCTTTTCAATGTTAAACTCTTCCTCGGCTTTCGCATCTATTTCTTCAGCTTTTTCATTGGCCTCTTGTTCAATGAAAGCCATCATATGCTTAATCTGCAATAATATATATAGCATTATATACAATTATTTGATTGATCAGCCGTGTCATCACTAATCGGAGTTCGATTATTTTATCTACACCTTTATTTTTTATTATTCTGCTCCGACATCTCAAAGAAGAGATAATTAATAATGTAATAAAATAAATACGTATTTAGAAAGACTTTGGTGACGAAAAAATATCAATAGCGATTCAAGGACCCTCAAAAATAATGAAATTTATTGTAAAAAATATCTCACCTGTTTTTGTACGTCAGCATCGCTGAGAGCCATGATTAGTGCTTTTTATTTGACAAAAAACTAGTCGCAAATACAATCGGCTGGCTGCCTGTAATTATTTATTAAAAATAATTAAGCGAAGGTAAATTTGAGGGTCTAATGATAGAAAAAGTCAACGCCTATAAAACACGACTGACTTCGAGCACTACCCAGTGATGATCATATGACCACATATAACATGACTTGTGCGCGCGCAACCACTAGTCAAGTTGGTGCTTGATCTATTAGCTCAATTAATTATAGTTCATTAAATTACTTACTGATTATTGACAGATGTATTTAATTTGTAAATTAACTATTTATTTTTTTATAGTGACCTAATGAATTTTGTCTGAAATTTTTGATCCTGAAAAAAATTAAAAATTATATACTAATTATATGATTTTGTGACAACAAAAAAAAAAACAGAGGTGAGAATTACCAGTAAATGGCAATACACAGTCAATTCGTCAATTCAATTTGAGTTTTCTCAGCCAGATAGCACTGTCTCAAGAAGGAATGTTTAAACTGACAGGTAGGAAAATTTTATTTTTTTAACAAGCTTAATTATTATTAAAATAATACTGAAGTTTGCTGACGTTTTTAATTTTTTAATTTTTTTTTTTTAATAATTAAATTAGAACAAAAAAATATTTTTTTAAAACTGTACTTACAGTTTTTCAAGTTTTTTTACAAATGAAATTTTTCTTTATTTTTTTGTAAAAACTTTTTCAATAAAAAAATTCTAAAATTTTTTAGATGTCGGCTAACTATTAAAATAAAAAAAATTTATAAAATTGAAATTGGTAATTTAAAAAATTGCACTTGGAGTTTTTTAAAAATAGAATATAATAATTAATTTAGCATATATTTAATCATTTTTTTAAACAAATAAATTATAGCAAAAAGAATGAGAAAAAAAATTGACATGTAGAGATATTTTGAAGTACTATAAATGCAATTTTTTAAAAATAATTTTTCAGAAAACATTTTTAGTAACAATAATTATAACTCAAATAAAATTAAAAAATTATCAAATGATTGCTAACTTTAATATCATAAGATAGAACTTTTTATTTTTTAAATAAATTTTAATATATTTAGTCGACAAATAAAAACACAAGATGGAGTAACATTTTTATTTTTGTGTATCCAAGTTGACAGTCGGTAAATTTATCTAATTGGCGGGAAAATTTAAATTATTACTCTAATTGCACCACTAATTAAATGACAGACATCCGACACATTTTATTTTATATCATTAGTTCATTTTTTCTATATAAACTCCGTTAAAATAATTTCACTCAGCTGATTGACAAAAAGAAAAACACTTTTAATTTTTTAATTGCTAATTTCCCTAATTTCGCGCATGCGCACAAACGCGACATTCAAATTTCAAACATGGCGATTTGTGGAAAAAACTAACACTGTTTGTTGAAGCTGTAACATTGAATTTTTAAGCAGATAAATTTTAAAAGAAAGTAAGTAATTTATTTTCTCAGTTATTGCAATAAGTTTTATTATTATTTATTATTTTATTTTTATTAAATTATTTAATTATTTATTTTAAACTATCAGTGTTATTTTTTTAGGTTAATTTTATTTATAATCAAGGTTATGAGCGTCAATAATTATATTTAAACAAATAGAATTTTGTATGCGCAAGTGTAATAAATAAAAATAATTTCAGATTTTGAAAATGACAGACAGTGTGAGGCGAGCTCTGGGAATCGACCAGGTAGACCTTAATGGTAAATTAATAATGATAGACGAGCGCCATGGTACTGATGCTAATTTTATAATAAACACAGTACTGTCTAAATCTCTGGAAGAAGGTCGTGCAATTTGTCTGGTACTGTTTCACAATACCTTCGGACATTACCACAACATCGGTATGAAACTTGGATACAATTTAACTGTTTTAAGAGAACGTGGTGAAGTAACGGTTGTTGAACCGATGAAATCAATCGTGTGTAATATCGAGGAACTGGGTCACGATTCTGTGGATCCAAGTACATCAGAATTGGAAGAGAGATTGCGTGATACATTTATCAATAACACACAAATTCCCGATCCATTGAAATTGGATGATAATGTTATCCAGCATTTATTCACGTCATTGCGACACCAGTATTATGAAACTAAAAAAATACGCGAATCTGTGACTATAATTATTGATGAGATAACGCATTTATTTGACTTAAATTTGAGCTTGAAGGAAGTCTGGTTGTACACTAAATACTTGAGGTCATTAATGGAATCGGAACCTACGCTCGCGCTCTGTGTTATGGGTCACTCGTATCAAACTGACGCTGATAATTGCTATCCAAATATTATTGTACAAGTTATAAGACGGATGTCACATTTATTTGTTATTACTGAACCTCTGAAAACTGGATACGCTAATGATATCTCGGGGAATATGCATGTTCAGTGGAGGGTTGCTGCCATCAGAAAACAACACCATTGGTCTGAGCGTACAACTTATCAGTACAAATTATTAGATCGTCAGATAAAATTATTTACACCCGGTGGACTTGCTATTTCATCTTAAATTTTTAATTATTTTTTTGGATATATAATTGTCAAAAAAAATTATTTTTGATAAAAAAAAAAAAGGAAATGTTTATAATAAAAATATTTTAAATGAAAAATTTATTACAATTTCTCGAGCATTATTGAATTAAAATTAAGTACTTACTTTATTTCAATATTGAATAATCTATATTATTAAGATAATAAACAAAATTTTGTCAGTGTATTTATATGATAAAATGGGTTTTTATGGTTAAATTTGGTATTATTGGAAAAGTCGACCTGGAGCTGTGCCTCTTCAAGGTTTTATATCATTTTTACCAATAGTCAATTTATGATGATTATTTAAGCTGCATTTGATAATTATCTCTAGATACATAATTGAGAAATGACCTTATATCTTGTGAACTATTGACATTTTTAAAGATATAAGCTCATCCCGATGTTACACTCATCGAGACCTTTCATTTGAGTACCCACATCAATTTTTCATATATTTATTTATATATATATATATGTATATATGAAAAATATATCAAAATGCATGTGGGTACTCAAATGAAAGCTCTTGATGAGTATAACATCGGGATGAGCTTGTATCATTAAAAATGTCAATTGTTAAAAAAGTACAGTGCAATTTAATAATATTCATTATTTAATAAAGCGAAATGTTATTATTTATAGTTCACAAGGTTGCTAGTATATTTTAATTAACTAAATATTTATTTTAAGCTCAATTGATAATGAGCCAACTTCAGTTGTTAGTAAAAAACTAAAATAAATTTTATATGAATTATTCAAAATATAAAAAAAAATATTATTGGGAAATGAAAAGGTGATAAACCTTGAAAAATGGGCGGCGCGAGTAGTAGAGATAATTATAAAAAATCAATAGCGAATGAGCAAGCATTAATAAAGAAAACGTGGGGAAAAATAGAAAATAATCTTCAGTATCATGCAAATGTTTTTTTTACCGAGTAAATTTTTATACAATTTATTCAGATTAATTATTGTTGTTTATCAATCCATATTAATTAATTTTTATTTCATAGATTTTGCGAAGTTAACCCACAGTATATTAAGTACTTTACATTCGATCCGGACATGCCGTTGACCCTAGACGCAGATACAAGCAAAAAATTCATGACAATTATGGACACTATAGGATTTTTGTTAGTAAATTTTTTAAACAAACCCAAACAAGTGAAACATATAATAGGATACGTTGCGATGATTCACAAGGACATGAATATTACCCGCATAGACATGACAGTAATCAACATTTTTTATTTTAAAAACAAAACAGTTCATCTATTTAAATTATTATACAGAATTTCAGTGAAAATTTAATTAAATACATAACATCAACATTTCCAAAATTTATTACGAATGAGTATCAAAATATAATTGCTAAATACATAAATTGTGTTACGGATGAAATCTCTCAGAGCATTGAAGATATTAAAAAAAATGAAATGCGTTTTAATTTAGTGCTCAGCAGACGTCACAACTCGGTGAGCTTAATCAGTAACAAGAGATACATTTGATGAAGATAATTAATGATTTTTAATTAATTAAGTTATTAAATAGTTATTAACACACTGCTTTTGTAAAGAAGAACTAATTTACGGATGTAAATTAGACTACTGGAATGAACGGAAGCGCGTATGGGAGGAGCGGCTAGAAGAGTGGAAGCTTAAAGTACGAACGCCGGTTGATTCATCAAAATGTTCTTCAACTGACGAGGATATTATGCCCATTGGGAAATCTAAAATTGAAGATACCACTCCAGATCATGAAGCATCTATTCATGTCTGGGAGCCACGAGATAGTTCTGGAACGGGAATTAGTAAAATTACGGTCCGTTTTTTAACTACGGTAATTATTTACAAGTGGGGTTTATTACCCTATTTTTGGCCATATCTAGGTTAAAAATTAACATTTTTTTGATTCTGCTTCTTTTTACGGCGCATTTATGATAAAAAATATCGTGAAAGTAAAAAAAAAAAATTTCAATAGCTTCATTGCCTTCAATAGTTGGAAAAAATTTTGGCTCTCATGTTTTTGGATAAAATTTCTATTTCATCTTTTTTTGATGTTTTTGGTATATATCTTTTTGAAAATTACATAAAAAAAAATGAACAATTTAAAAACAAGTTCAATATCACAATTTTCTAAAAAATTTATAAATTGTTAAAATTGTAACAATCAATTATTTTTTTTTTTAATTGTTCATTTTTCAAAAATAACGTATCATCAATAAAATCAAATAAAAATTTTCTTCAAAAAAATAAAAATAAAAATGGTTGACTCCACTTGTAAATAATTACCTTAACCACTAGTACTAGAATAAAAAAAATAATTACTAGTAGTTACAATTATAATTTAGATAATTTATTGCTAACAACGTTACACATCAATTACCTCTCTCTTTAAATTTCTTCGCACAGGATGACAGCATTCAGTTTTCTTCAAACCGTAGGCGCGTTATCGTGAGGACAAAAAAATCTGGACAAACTAATTATGACATAATTGAAACAAGTAATTTAACAGATCAGCCAGCCAGACCCCAATTATCCGTAAAAGAAAAAATATTTGAAAATCACCCGACAACTTCTACATCTGCAGTGTCCTCTTCGCCGGTCGTTGATTCAGAGGCCAGAAAACGACGTCGTCAACGCGCGTCAACTCTCAATAATGATTAATCCCTATCATTATTACTTTAAAAATTTATAATATTTTAATATTGTCAGGTACTAGTAGCTTATTACAGCTAATTTTATTTATTGACGATTATTGAAGAAAAAAGATTATCCCTTTAATCGTGAGTCACGTAAACTTTTTGGTGAATTTACATTATTATCACTTGCGACTCTCCGTAATTTATTTTCTCTGAAATAAATTTATGGTACAATAAAAAAGTCGAATCTTTTTGAGGATAAAAATTTTTTTGTGAAACTTACTGATTTTTTCGCTTGGAGTTAGGTATCGGTGGAAAGAAAACAGATGGAGAAATTAATGGACGCACAACTGGACCCATTACATTTTCAATTTCCTGTGGCTCGGGTATTGGTGGTAACGGCGATTCCCAATCAGAATCCGTAGAGCTTAAATCAATAACAATAGTATTTTTGGCATCAAATAAATAATTTTCACAGAGTAAAATTTACTCATTGTTATTTATTTTAGTTTATAAAAAGAGATAACGAATGATAAGTTACCTGCTCGGTAATCTTGTGTCATCAAGGCTCTCAAAATGAATTCCACGATTTATTGGTGGCAGACGGTTATTAAATAGCATGGAAGATACTGATAAATCAACTAAATTACTATCATTGTAAGCAGCAGCATGGATTTCTTGTTGGTACATTATATACAATTCTTGTAAATCCGACGGAAGAGATAGTTTACCATCTAAAAATTTTTCAGACGAACAAACTAAATTTAATTGTTATTTTTTATAAGAGTTCCTATAAGAAAAGACTAGAACATAACTTCCCGTCTCAAAATTAAAATTTTATTTTCCAGAAAAATAACAGTAAGGTAAAAGACCCAGTTATTGACACTTGCAATTTTATTTTAATTAAAAAAAATAAATCAACTCTAATAAATTGATGAATATAATTTTTGAATTATAAATTTTAAGAAAATTGGTCTTTTAAGAACATTTAATTTTTTTAATTAAAATAAAATTACAAGTGTCAAAAAATTAGACCTGTGTCAATAACTGGGTCTTTTACCTTACACAGAAAAAAAAAAAAAAATTAAATTGAATCAAGAAAAAAATACTTGAACCAATAAAAATTTTTTAGTTTAAAAATTTTTCTACTAAAATCAAGAAAATTAATTTATTCAAAATTATTTACTTGATTTAAGTTAATTTTTTTTCTGTGTACCTGTAATTAATTTTTAAAAATAATTTGAGGTGGTTTGTTATGTTCTAGATAATTTTCAAAATAAAATTAAAGTCATTAAAATATAAAAATAAATATTTAAAAATTACCTTCCATAATTCTACGCTGGCGAGTGATAATTTCATCAGAAATTTGCCGCTGACGATCATACCTCAGTAGCAAAAGTTCTCTTCTTCTTAATTCATGCTGTTTAACCAATCGTTCACTTTGCAGCATCATTTTGTCAGCTTCTAATTCATGAACTCTGAGCATTAACGCCAACAGCTCACGTTCTTCTTCTGAATTTATTCTAGCCGGTAATTCCTACAAATAAAATATCTCATTAACTTTAATAATCCTTAATTTAAACAATTAAATCAATACACAAATATTAATTAAATTACATCTTCAAGAGATGCACTCCGCTGCCGACAATTTTCCAATTCCCGTTCAGTAATCGCTCGGATTTCAATATAACGCTCTTGTTCCTTATTAATTTCTGACAATTCCGTCCAAGCTTGTTGCACAGTAATATCATTTATTTCATACTCTTCACCTAGATCTAAAAGAATTACCATTTAAATACTTGTAAAAATAATCTCTAATTTATAAAATCACATAAACTAACTACCTTCGCTTTCAGTTTCATCAATCTGGCTATCAGCGCTAGATCTCCGTCTGGTATTTTCTTTACTAGCTTTATAAAGTTTATTATTCCTAGACTCCCAGTGTGAAATAATTGCATGCTGTTGTTCAGCAGCTATATTAAGACCCAGTAGATGACTATCTAATTCCATGAGTTTACGCCTACAAAAATAAAAATAGCCCACAAATAGAATGGACCATAATTTAGCTTTATTCCTAGCCCGTATTAATTAAAATAAAATAAAAAATAAAAACAAAAGTATGATAATAACCTTAGCCGCATTTGTTCTTTAAACGCAGAAACTATTTTTTCCCTCAAAGATCTCAGATCATTAACTTTAGTCGTACTAATTCTCTCTTGGGTCTCGGGTCTTCCAATGTCAGGTCTCTCAGTATCGTGCATTTTATTTCTAAGTCTAGAGATTTCATTTTTTAAATCGCTGATTATGTCTCGGTACTGCGAGACATGATAATTAACATCAACAATATTTTGTTCAGCTTTGGTAGTGATCCGATTAGCGCGATCAGCGTACATCAATGTATTTTTACTTTCTTCACGATGAATACCCGAGGGTGAAACATGAGCAATCATCACAGTCCGACAATTACCACCAAGTGCATCCTTTAAAAGCCTAGTAAGCTTGGAATCTCGGTAGTTAACATAACGCGCTCCACCAGACAATGCTGTTATGCAATTACCAAGTGCTAAAAGTGATCGATTTATATGAGCACCCTCTTGGAGACGTTTTCCTTGGTTCTAAAAAAAATTTTAATATTTAATTGATTTTTTTGGTGAAAACAAAAAATCAAGGAATAATTGATAGTTTACCTTTGTTTGTTTTGCTCTTTCGGAACCAGCAAGATCAATCATAAAAAGTTTACCCTGCTTGACACGTGCCCGATGTCGAAGGTCACGACCAGACGATGGCCTTGTTGTTTGCTTGACTACGACGTTAAGTAAAGCATGGCTACGAGATGACGTTTCATTAGCAGCTGTCGGCTCAACTGTCCGTGCTTTGTTGCCTTGGTGTAACAATTTCATTACCTGAAAGTTGATCGTTTATTATTATTATTACTATTACTATCTATGATTGCTTATCTAATTTAATTAAATTCCTCGAAAATAGAATTAAGGAGAAAAAATAGTTTGCAATTTAAAAAACTCAATTACCTCTTCCGTTGAATTTATCGAAACTTCAGTGAGCCCAGTGATTTGTATATTGCGACCTCGCGAGTCGTCACGCAACTCCAAGTAACCAGTATTTGGATTCAACAGGTCGCGAATATTTTCATTGTATATCTCAAGATATGACATTATTACCTGATTGAAATTAATTGTTTATTTTATATTATAAAAGTTATTTTTAATTCTATTGCTTGTTTTTATTGTTCTCTTACATTGATAAAAAAATAAACTTATTTTTTTTTTTTTTTTTTTTGAGTAAATAATTATAATTAATAGTTCAATTTTGATGATATTGAATTAAGCAGACATCAAAGAATTTAAAAAAAAATTTTTAACAATTAAATTACAATAAAAAAAATATTTTTTTATAACAATTAAAGGACATTAAAGTTAGCAGTTACTTGACCATTTAAAAATTTTTTTTTAATAAACAAATTTCTTTCCAAAAATTATTTTTAAAAAATTCCATTTTTAATTTTATCCGTGATTCAATTTTTTTTTTCTATGATTTTTTTTTATTGATTATTTAAATGTTAGCCTGACGTTTTTAAATTTTTGATTTTTTTTTTTAATTATTAAATTAGAACAAAAAAATATTTTTAAAAAATTGCACTTACAGTTTTTCAAGTTTTTAACAAATGACAATTTTTTTTCTTTTTTTTTGTAGTCATTTTTTCAATAAAAAAATTCTTTTTAATTTTTAAATGTCGGCTAACTTAATTTTCATAGTTTTTTTTGCCATAATTTATTGGTGAAAAAAATTCTAAAATATCTTAATCTAATTCTAGTGTCATAAATTTTCAGAAAACTTTACCTCAACATCAACGTCATTTGAAAGTCTTCGTGCTGCTAAAAAAATATCATTCAACGCCCGAACCATAACACCAGGCTCTTCAGCACTGCCGACCATCGTGTGTGTTTTCCCTGCCCCAGTGGCACCATATGCAAAAACAGTTGCATTATATCCGTCGATTATATCTTGCACCAGTGATTTAGTTGTTCCCTCGTAAACTGCTTCTTGCGATGAATCTTCTCCTAACACTAAATCGTACAAATATTGCTTAGGTGAAGCACGTTTCTGTTTGTCTGTTTCTAAGTCATCCACCATAACCATCTATTAAAATAATTTACATAATTTATTAAGTAATTAATTACTGTACACTGAGAGAAAAAATTTATTTTGAAAAAAATTGAGTATTTTTGTGACAAGAAATTAATTTTTAACAATTTTATTTCTTAGCTGAAGAAATTTTCCAAATATTTTTTTTCTCTCAGTGTAAATGATTTAAAAATCCCTTGAATTCTAAATATTATTAATTTACCTTATTATTAAGAGCATGTAGCACTCTTGGACCGGCTTCATCTTGTCCGAGCGGTCTAATTCTAACAACCACCTAAAATGAATAATATAAAAAGTAAATAGAATAAAAAAGCTGTTTCTCTTTACTTTTTGTTCTCACTACTAATATTGATATTATTTCAATTATGGTCAATTGATTTTTCATGTGACCTCGAGTTTATCCGTAATTCCGGGAGTTTATTATATTACTAACAATTTATCGCAAGAACAACGACCCAATATCGATCAATTGAGTCTATTGCAGTTGTCTGCTTGCATGTTTGCTCTTTTCAAGTTAACTACTTATTATTATTCATTATGTCTATTGCATCGCTCAGTATTTTTCCTCTACTTCCTACTATTTACCTTTTTCAATAATACTAAAATAAACAGACAAATTTTTTCAGATTTTTATATTAAATTATTATAAAAAAATTTTTCAATTTTCTTAGCGGGAACTTGAAAATTTATTAAAAAAATTCCAGATGAAGAAATTGAAAAAAATTTTTTTAATAATTATTTAATCAAAAAATAAAAAAAAACTATTAGATATCAGCTTTTATCATTTTTTTAGCACAAGTTTTGGTAATTATTTACAAAAGCGGTCCACCATTTTAATTTTCATTTTTTTGAATGAAATTTCTATTTGATTTTATTGATATATTTTTTTTTGAAAAAAATATAAAAAAAAGATGAAGATAAAGTTAGCTGACATCTAAAAAGTTTTATAATTTTTTTATTAAAAAAATTATTACAAAAAAATTAAAATTTTTCATTTGTAAAATCAAAAACTATAAGTGTAATTTTTTAAAAATAATTTTTACTTCTAATTTAATAAATTAAGAAGAATAAAAAAAATCAAAAATGTCAGCCAACTTTATTATAATAAAAAAAAGAACAATTAAAAAAAAAAAAAATTGAGTATCACAATTTTAAAAAATTTTCAAAAAAATTTATAAATTTTTTCCCAAATTGTGATATTCAACTTTTTTTTTTATAATTGTTAGTTTTTTTATGTATTTTTCAAAAAAAAAAAAAAATAAATCAAAAAAAGATAAAATAGAAATTTTGTCCAAAATATTAAATAAAAACTAAAAAATATTTTTAAAAAATTGCACTGATAGTTTTTCAAATTTTTTACAAGTGAAATTTTTTATTTTTTTCTTTTTGTAATAATTTTTCAATAAAAAAATTTCTGAAAGTTTTTAGATGTCGGCTAACTTAATTTTCATTAATAAATGTTAAAAAACTGTATTAAGTATTTAAAAAATAATTTATTGACTTACCATCAATTTTTCCGGAACAGAGCGTCTCTCAACCCTGTCTTTAAAATTTCTAGTACTACTACTTGAACTACTACCACTTCCGCCGCTTCCACTGCTACCGAATTGTGTCATACTCATCACAAATATAATCAACAGCCAGTAAATTATTAAACGTCATTTATATTTAAAAAAATAATTCCAACTTGTATTAAGCCACATTAATTCCACAATTTATCTTCCAGAGTCATCAATAAAAACTATTAATTATAATTATAAATTAACTATTAAATTATAAAAATTACCACAGGAATTAATCAGGATATAGATTACAGATAATCTGAATGTTATAAACAATAAAAATAATTTGTAACTTGTGAAGAAAGTTATTTAAATTTGAGCCGCGTCCCCGAGAAGAAATAAGTGTATCAAGATCACGTTATTAATGTCCCAGAAAGTTTAAGCCGTGTCACTGACTATAAGTGAGGGTAAGAAGAGTAAGAGTGCCAAGGGCTTTAACTACTCAAACACGCGATATAATACGCTAATAAGTTTAATGCGTTAATAAGTAAAATAGATTTTACTTGTCGGAATAAAATACATGTGTACTACTCAAGCGACTACCGCTGACTGACCACTAAAGCTTTCATCACCTGGTCTACACCTACACTAACAACTAACAACTCTAGGTCTTGAAAACATTTAAATGCGCGAGCATTTTTATTTTTCATTCCATATGCAATATAATTATACAAATAGTCATTACTAAGCCCGTATAAATTTCTTTATACTTTCTTTTTAACTTGTTAGAGTTTTATAGTTTCGATCTAGTATAGCCCCTATGCTCATTATTATATCCATCAGACTCTATATATTTACCTAACGCTTAACTTAGTCTTATAATATATGCGTAATTATTTTTTCTATTTATTATCAACTGTCTAGTTAGTTAGTTAGTTAGTTAGTTAGTTATAAATAAGTACTTTTAAAGTGTGAATTATTTCTGTATTTGCAATTTAAATTTAAAATTTAATAGCTTATCGTTTTGTCGTAAATTATAAACTTTTTTTAATTTATTTCTTATTTTATAAATAAAAATAATGTATATTTATTTTTTTTTACTATGCAATTAACATTTAGATTCATTCTGTGCACAACCGGTCGATATTCACGTAAAGAATAATTGTATTTGTAAATTTTTAACGCGCTTTTAATCTTTCAATCTTTTTTATTTTTTTTTACATACTTAACAAATTATCTAACAAATAATATTTTTTTTTTTTTAAATATAAGTGAAAAAAATAAAAATAATTTAATAACAATATTTGACACCATTTAAAGTGTCTTATTGTGAACTAGGGAAGAAAATATGAAAGAAAAAATATGCGTTGCGTGAGTCACGAAATTTTTATTAAAGATTGATAGCCTCGAGATGATGACCTTCGGTATTTCACCCCAAGTTTTATTTTTTTTTTTTTTTGTTATATATATTTTTTATTATATTTTAGTGAGCTGTTAGGTCAGTAAGAGTTCATATAAAAATTCCCATTGTGGAAATAAAGACTGACCGAGGGAGATTCGTATCTTGTTGTAAACACGCAACTAAAAGTATAGATGTCCATGTGTCCATACTCATATTCATTGTTCATGTCTACGGTTACATTGTATATAAGGATAGTTGCCATCAGTTTTTAAACTCAATACTTCTTGAATAATTAAATCATCACTGCCCTGATTCAATTATCTATTATAATTTTATAGGAAATTAAAAATTATGAGATTAATTGAATAATTATAAATTCCTTTTGATTATTCGAGACACGTGGATGATTTTTTTTTATTTTATAAATTTGTAAAAAATAATTTCGATGGAGTTGAAGGTTTAGATCCAGATGAAGGACCAGTAGAGGATATTGAAGATGAGAAAAGCTGCAGGGAAGACGATTCTACTTCGCCGATCGATCCATTGAGCTATTTGTTGGGGTGTCATTGTTGTAAAATTGTGCAATTTAGCGAGAGTCGGTCGCCGGGTGAATGATTTAGGTGGAGGCGACGGTGTACTTTCGATTGTCATAACGCTACCGCTTGAAAAATCACGCTCATCTTCTATTCTTACTGCCGGTATGGTTATTGTACTGGGAAAACTCTGAAAATGGCCAAATAAAAATTTGCTTTATTAAATAATGACTTTTGGTAAATTGCACTGTACTTTCTTAAATATTGACGTTTTTAAAGATATAAGCTCATTCTGATGTTACACTCATCAAGAGCTTTCATTTGAGCACCCACATGCATTTTCATATATTTCTCATATATACATATATATATAATATATATATATAAATATATGAAAAATTGATGTGGGTATTCAAATGATAGGTCTCGATGAGTGTAATGTCGAAGTGAGCTTATATCTTTAAAAATGTCAATATTTCCCAAGATACAAGGTAGTTTCTTGATTATGTTAAATTGTACTGTACTTTCTTAACTATTGACATTTTTAAAGATATAAGCTCATCCTGATGTTATACTTATCAAAAGCTTTCATTTGATTACCCACATGCATTTTGATATATTTTTCATATATACATATATATGAGATATACAAAATATATGAAAAATTGATGTGGGTACTCAAATGAAAGGTCTTGACAAGTCTAACATCGGGATGACCTTATATCTTTAAAAATGTCAATAGTTCACAAGATACAAGATCATTTTATTATATAAATACACTGACCATAAAATTTTGCTTATTCTCTTAATGATATAGATTATTTATGACATTAAAGTTAGCAGTCACTTTTTATTTTTTCAAATTTCTATGTCAATTTTTTTTTGCCATAATTTATTTGTTAAAAAAATTCTAAAAATTGTTAAATATATGCTAAAAAAAATTTTCATAATTATTTTTATTTATGGATATTTAATTATTGTCAATAGAACTGACATTTAAATGAATAATTTATAAAAATGGATTACTAAATCCTTAGAGATTATGCAGATTGAATTCAATCACGTGTTGGCTTTTGATTAAAAATTCATATGATTAAATCAAGTGATAAAATTTCACTTTGCCTGTGAAAAAGCTACCGATCAAATAAAAATAATGATTAATAACTTACATGTACTGTTAAATAATTCTGACTCGAGAAATCACTGCCGTTTAGCCGGCTGTGATCGAGAGAAGACCATGATCGTGACCGCTCAAGATTTGTAGTGTTCTTTTGAAATTGTTTTCTTGCCAGGCGGGGCGTTAAAGTTGATTTCAAAATATACTTGCTGTTTACTTTTTTCAGAGGTACATTTTTTCTGTAATTAAAAAATTACATTAATTTTTATAATTAACAATAATATTAATAATTTATACACTTACTTTCTACGATAAATAGTATTGACGAATGCAAATTCAACCATTGCAGCAAAAAGAAAAATAGTACATCCAAGGAACCAAATTTCACTGGCCTTGATGTAAGAAACTTTCGGCAATGAATTTTCTATTTTTGACGCCAAAGTCATGAATGCCAATATTGTATTAGTTCCTAGAACAATTCTCGGTGGACTGGCGTCTACATGAAGCCAGAATGATACCCAGGAAATAACAACAATCAATACCGATGGTATGTAATAGTCCATTACAAAAAATCCCATTTCACGTGCAAGTTTAAATGTAATGCTGATGGAACTAAAGTTACCAGCTAGAAAAACACGTCAAGATATGTACATTAATACTGTTATTATTTATGTAAATTTTAATCTAGTATATATTTAATAAGTATGTATGTATGAGTTTATGGATATGGATATTATGATAACTTTAAATGATTGTTTTGCGTCATTTGTAAAAACTAGCTAGTGGTCAGTCAGCCTGTGAAAAATCGATTGTTCAATTTACCAAAGTGACCATAATGTTGCTGTGCCGCAGTGTAAGAGACCTCAGTCTCGTTAACCCATTTCTCAACCAGTCGATACTCTGTTAAATGCAATTCTTTAGACAGTACTATTGGCGATTCATCCCAGTCTAATTTCATATCTTGGGCGCTGTGAGTCCCTGAAATAAAAATTAGTTTTTTATAATAGAATTATAGATGAAAATTAAGTTAGCTGAAATCTAAAAATTTTTAGAATTTTTTTTTATTGAATTAATTATTACAAAAAAAATAAATTTTGTTAGTTAAAACTTTGAGGGCCAGTTTTTTAATCCAGGATTAAATTTTATTGAATAATCAAATATATTTTTTCATGTATATAAATATACTGGCAATAATAATACTTTTATCAGGGATTGAAAAACTGGACCTAAGTGTAATTTAAAAAAAATTTTTTTTGTTCTAATTTAATAATTTAAAAAATTAAAAATGTTGGCTAAGTTTAGTTTTATTAATGATACTAAAATTAGCAGATATCTGACAATTTTTTTTAATTTTTATCATTAATAAATTATAAAAACAAATTTGCAATTACAATTTTTTTTTTTATTTTTGCATATTAAATTTTTTTCACTATAGTAAGAGAAAAAATTTCTTTTGAAAAAAATGGATATTGTTATAACAAGAAATTAACTTTCTAAAAATTTCTAATAATTTTATTTCTTCCCTGAAGAAATCAAAAATTTTTTTATAGTAACTTTCTTGGTAAAAAAAAGTTTTATTAAAAAAAAAAAAACAATTTTGGATAAAAATTCGCAAGTTGTCTATCTAAAATTGTTTTTTCCCTAATCTAAAAAAACTTTTGGTAAATAATTACAAGTACTTTTTTTTTTTTTTAACAATACATAAAAAATGAAGAATTTAAAAAAAAAGTTGATTATCACAATTTTAATAAATTTTTTAATTTTTTAGAAAATTATGATATTCAATTTTTTTTTAATTGTTTGTTTTTTTATGTACTTTTCAAAAAAAAAAATCTATCAAAAAAAGATAAAATAGATATTTTATCAAAAAACGAGTCAGAATTTTTTTCAACTTTTGGAGGAAAAAAAGCTATTGAAATATTTTTTCTTTCACGAAATTTTTTATCATAAATTCGCCATAACAAGCAGAATTAAAAAAAATTTAAAAATGTTAATTTTTCACCTTGATATGGCCAAAAATAGACTTGTAAATAATTACCAAGCTTTTTTTTTAACAAGAAAGTTACTTAAAGAATTTTATTTCTTCAGCAAAGAAATAAAATTATTGGAAATTTTCAACAAATTAATTTCTTATTAATTTTAATATATAAAATATTTATAATATTAATAAATATTAAATATTTTTAATATATATAATATTTATTATTAATTTTTTCTAAAAATTCAAACTTACAATTTTTGAAATTTTTTTAGTGAAATTTTTTCACTATAATTAAATTGTTATAAAAATAGTAAGATGTCTGTTGAATTTAGTATAATTAATTTAAATGAATGCATCGAAGATTTATTAAGACTACTTACAACTCTCAAATATCAGGGGGCATTCCTGTACATCGAAGGGAAATTTTTCCAGGCGAAGTGCACAGTTCAAGGTAGCTTCGAGTCTAAAGACATATATTTATACACTGACATTGTATTCATTTTACTTTCAGATATCACATCAATCGATTAACCAGTAATATAATGTGTATTATAGCTTCTGTTGATGTTTAAAGATAACAACTATTCTTTCGTACCTGGTATTAAGGATGACCATGCCGGTAGGATCGATAGATATCAGCAAATCTTTAACACCGTTCCCCATTATGACGGAAGTCCTTTCGTTGGAGACAAACACTGTCGGTGTCCATATTAAATTATGTTCCGACTGGCCACCGAAAATTTGAGTATATTTCGGGGCTACCTCGGCGTACCGGAGTCTTGAATCGCGATAACGAAATTGAAGCATCATGTGGACGTCGAATTGCTAGTTGGAAAGAAGAAATCATTTTATTTTGTTTATTAATAGATTAGGATTAAATTTATAAATTTATTCATAGTTCTAAAATGTTAATTACTAGTGTCTTGGCCATATTTGACTTTATTGTATATATATTGGCCCTGCAGGCAACATGAATTGGGTCACTTGCATTGATTTCACCGGGTGGTCTAACCATCTTATCGTAACGACAATCATTTGTCAGTTCCTTAAGCAGTTCTGTTTGTGTTAATGTGTTTTCTGTAGTAATTGCATGACAAATATTACCTTCGACGGCTCTAAAAAAAAAAAAATAAAAGAAAAAATTTTATTGAAGTTACCAGACACTTTTTTAATAGAAAATAGACTAGGTGTCATTTTTTAGAGCTTTTAATAATTTTTTAAGTTAATTTTTTTTTTTAATATAATTTATTTGATAAAAAAAATTATGCAAGTTATAAAATGTCTCTTAATTTTAGTATCATATAAAAATGACAATTTTTTTATTTTTTTTGAAAAATAGACTAGGTATGAAAAATTATTTATTAAAAATTAAATTTATGTAAATAACTTAATAAATGAAGATTTATTGTCCAAATTTTCAAGATTAAGTTATTTAAATATCTTAACTAGGGACGAGAACTTAAATATTAATTAAATTTATTATTTTTTAGAGCTTCCTATAAGATGAAATTTTTTCAACAAATTTTTCTTGTTATAATTTATTTGTTAAAAAAATTATTAGATGTCTCAAGTTAACTACCATCAAAAAATGACACTGAATAATAAGTAACCAGACACTCGACAGTTTTTTGATTTTTCTTAAAAAATAGACTAGTTATAAAAAATTATTTTTAAAAAATTAAATTTATAATTTTTTAGAGCTTCTAAAGATAGGATTTTTTTGATACATTTTTTTTGTTATAATTTATTTGGTTAAAAAGTTATAAAAATTATTAAATGTCTCTCAATTTAAGTCTTATACAAAAAAAGACACTGAATTAAATTTATAATTTATTATAGCTTCTAAAGTTGTAATTTTTTTTAAATAAATTTTTCTTGCTAAAATTTATTTGTTAAAAAAATTATGAGATATTTATTAATTTAAGTACCATAAAAAAGTGACATTGAAGTTTGCAGATACTCCACAATTTTTTGATTTTTTTAAAAAATAGACTAGGTATAAAAAAGTATTTTTAAAAAATTGCATTTATAATTTTTTAGAGCTTCTAAAGATTTAATTTTTTTTTTTAAATTAATTTTTTGGCTACAATTTATTTGTTAAAAAAATTACAAAAATTATCAGATTCTTAATTTATTAAGTATCATAAACAAAAATTTAGTGTTTGATTTTTTTTTTGCAGCAATGCTATGCTTCAATTACTAATTATTAAATTGCAAATAGTTTCAAGATGACACATAGCAATATTTAGATAGCAAGTAAAAAATGTAATTTGCTAATTAACATTCATCAGGGTATTTGAGTGACAAATAAGCCTTTTGTATAAACACTCGTATGATATGAATTATCTGAATGTTGAAAATATTTTTAATACCATTAATCTTTTTGATAAATTATATACATTTTATGTTTCGTCACCGATGTGTTTTAAATAATTTAATTTTTTAAATTGTAATGTGATAAATAATTAGTAAGCTGCATAGAATATGCAAAAATATATAACATGCAGTTCAAAGCAGGATGATACATTTTGCGCGTGATTCCCAATGAAACAAACAATTTACGTCATAATTAAATATGCGTTAAGTCTTTTATGGTTGATAGCAAATTATAATGATAAAAAGAATATATTTTTCTTTATTTCGATAATCATTTTCTTTTTATTTTAATTAATGATAGTTTTTCAATTGACAAAATTAATATTTTTATTATATTATAACTTTGTTTGCGCAAGTGAGCTCTATTTTTTTCATTTGGATTTTATATTTTTGACATTATTTACTCAGAACACCTTCTTGAATATTTTAAGCTTCACATGCGATTAGAAAAAAAATTATTCTATAATTTTTTATGATAAATAAATTTTTTTTTAAGTTAAAAAATTCATTAGCCGACAATTTTAATTTTTTTTAATAATTAAATTAGAAGAAAAAAATATTTTTTAAAAATTGCACTTAAATTTTTTTAATAATTAAATTAGAACAAAAAAATATTTTTAAAAAATTGTCCTTACAGTTTATAAAAATTTTTTTTAATAATTAAATTGAAACAAAAAAATATTTTCTAAAAATTGCACTTACATTTTTTTTTTTTAATTGAATTAGAACCAAAAAAAAATTTTTTTTTAATTGCACTTAAAGTTTTTTTAAAAATAAAACTTTTATTTCTTTTTTTTTTTTTCATTTTTTCAATAAAAAAAAAAAATTAAAAAATTTTTAAATGTCAGCTAATTTAATTGTTATAAAAAATTTTTGCAAAATTGATTATAACTGCAGATAATTAATTTTTATGCTTTTGTTAAATTATCCAAGTAAAAAAAAATCTAATTAAAAATCTAGTTTTGTGTAATGACTTTGGCATAGAGAAAATGTTCCCAAAGACCTTCAAATCAACCGTTTATTTTTCTTAACAATAGAAAATACGACACTACGTCACGCGCTAATGGTCTTTCAAAAAATTATATTTGTAACTATTAGCCAATCTATATATTACTTAATAATTTATTGCAATTGACATAAAAGTCTAGTTATTGTTAAATGAATAAATAAATAAATAAATAAATAAACCACAAAAACCATAAACGTGTTTGACATAAAATATTAAAAAAAATAAATAATAATTATTTAAATAAAAGATAAAGATTTTATTTTTAAACAATAAAACCTGAAGATTTATGAGTTGATGAAAAAATAAATGAATTTATCATTTAAAATAAATAACTCACGTAGTTGAAGCACTTAGTACAGAATAAAAATTAATAACTAAAATAGTTGTTGATAATTTTAAAAAATAAATAACATTGCACCCACACATTATATATATACTATTAATTGTTAATATAAAAATATATCCTCGCGTTTGAAAACGAGCTGTAAGACTCGGACCGACTGTAACAACTGGAGCCTAACTCTGCGGTGTTGTTTTTCAGGTGGTGGCTTTGAGCAGGTAAATTTGCTGATGTAAAGAAAATAACCGCAGCCAAACGTTGATCCCACTCAAACTTATGATATACAATTGTAATTACCGCTGTTTGAATTTGTTGCGCTACGTGTTAAAATATTAGTCATTCACCAAACGTTTACAAGCATACATATTTACATGCTATACAAACTAAATAAATAGTAGGTATGGTAAAAATTATAAGACGCCCGAAGAGGAGACAGTAGATCATAAATGCTTAATGATTAGAGATTTAAACTGATAATTATAGTTGCATTATATTACTAAATATACTTGTGCATATAAAATGTTTTTATATCTATATTATTAAGAGAATGAGAAAAATTTTGTTTCCAGGATACTTATAAGATAAAATTGATTTTTTTTTAGTGAAATTTAATTTTATTGCAAAGGTCTTGACTTGAATTTGTGCCTTTTCAAGGTTTTATATCATTCTCACCGATAGTCAATTTATTATGATAAGTATTTAGGCTGCATTCGAGAATGCTCTATCTTTAGGTACATAATTAAGAAATGATCTTGTATCTGGTGAACTGTTGACATTTTTAAATATATAAGCTCATCCCAATGTTACACTCATCGAGACCTTTCATTTGAGTACCCACATCAATTTTTCATATATTTATATATATTACATATATGTATATATGAAAAATATATCAAAAATACATGTGGGTACTCAAATGAAAGCTCTCGATAAGTGTAACATCGGGATGAGCTTATATCTTTAAAAATATCAATAGTTCACAAGATACAAGGTCATTT